ATCTCCCCTTTCCAGCTTAGCATCAAACCGCGGCTCCATTAAGTGCTCCAAGACGCTACCTGCGTGAAGGGCGAAATTGTTGTTGTAGTACTGTGGAATTTTTAACACTCACCTGAACAGACAGAGACCTCCGAAACACAACACCACTGACAATATAATAAGAATAATAATCCTTGCATCACGTCATTGAAACGTCTCAAAGCGCTTCACAGGATATACTGTAAATTAGATTGACTGTACTTTGTAGGTGAAACGCGGCAGCCAATCACGCACAGTAATGTCCCGTAAACAGTCGTGGTTCGAGTGACCAAATTATTATGTTTTTTTTGGAAGGATTATTACCCCCCCCCCCCGGAAACGATCCACCAATTGACCAACAACCGCGTTCCTACTTACAGGGCAAGCAAACCTGCCTCCGGTTTGCCCCACCCGTCAGAACCCTCCCTTTCCACCCCCACACCCCCAGCACTACACTGGCAGTTTAGCCGAGATCAACACCCCCCACAATGTTATTAGCAAGTGGACAAATAGCTGAGTTTTTAACTTGCTGTGTGGGTGTGTGTGTGGGTGTGTGTGTGTGGGGGGGGGGTGAGGGGGGGGAAGCTAGGTGATGTGTAATCTATTATCTTTCTGCTGGGAAATACACCATTAAATGGTCATAATAAGATCAGCAACCGTATCGATTGGAACGATGCCTGAGGCAGAGCAGACTGTATGTTTTTTATTTACAGTATATATATATTTACAGTAATATATATATATTAAACGCCCAGCTTGTAGCTATATGAATTGCCTCTGTGTGATGGGCTGCGGTACAGAGGGAATTTACATTTCGCTTGTGAGATAGTTAAAGGCAGGACTAGTCAGATCATTACTCTCTCTCTCTCTCTCTCTCTCGCCCAGTGTCGGAGGCAGTTAGCAGCGGGGTGTGTGTGTGTGTGTTGCTGTGATAATCAATAATTGCAGTGCTCTGCAGAGATTTCATTCGGACGACCAGAGTGTTTCGCGTGTTGTTTGCCGGGTGGGATTTCAGTGGTGGAGTAAATATCCCTGGCTCCCGGAGAAGCTATTTTGGCTTCGGCTCCGGTGACTTGGGACTGTGAAAGCCGAGGAATCAGCTTCCTATCTGCTGGTCGTACACGGACTCCGAGACTTGTAATCCAGGGCGGCGAGAATGTTTTCTGGCTTCCTGCAGCTTCTCTTTAACACTCTGCACTTGGGGTCAGGTAAAAAGCGAGAGACAGTGGGTGCGAGTCGGAGGGATGCGATGCGTTTTAATGATGTGGTGGGGGAGAGGCGGGTGGCAAGATTTGCATGTTAAAGCCACAAGCTGCTCAGTTGCCTGTCGGTGCATTTGGAGAGCGAGTGTGTGGTGTGTGGGAGCGGGGTGTGCGAGGTGGGGGGGAGGGTGAAAGATGGGGGAATGGTGCTGCGGGGAGAGGGGGAGGTGATGGAGGGACGTATGTTAGGTAAAGGTTGTGATTAGTGGAAGAATTTCGGCGGCTTGTATCTTTAAAAGCATGCTGTTGTTTATTTATTAGGGTGGTCCAACTGGTGGCCGGATGCGGCCCGTGGGCCAATTTAATTCGCCCCCTGCCTCCATTTCATCTGACCCACCCCCTCCTTCTGTAACCTGTAAATCTTGTGTTACGTTTCTGGAGGGGAAACACAAAAATATTGCTTATATGGCCCACGGATGTTTCTCAAATAGGGAATCTGGTCCTCAGCAGCCAAAAGGTTGGACCACCCTGATTTAGATATAAAAAAGAATATATTGGTGTGCGAGGTAACTAAATAATTCAAGCCCGTCTCAAGCTTTGCCTCCACGGCTGGTCCGAACCGGCCGGTACTTTGTCGACAGGTTTATTGACGTTTGCTGATGTGTTTGGGTTATTTACAGAGACTCTGTTTGGCAGAAGACAGTTGCCGTGTCCCGTGTCCCCAGAGTCATGCTGTGGTTAGTAACTCAACAACTCAACAACATGCACTTCCTTCATATATATTTAGTCTAGGTTGATGCTCCAGTACAGGGCTGGGGGGAGCAATGCCGTGCTTTGGATGAGACGTTAAACCGAGGTCCCGTCTGCCTGTTCAGGTGGACGTTGAAGATCCCATGGTACTATTTGAAAAGAGATGGGAGTTTTCCCAGTATCCTGGCTGATAATCAAGGCATGGCTTTCTGTATTGTAAATATAATATATATTCTGTGTTGTAAAAATTTCGTCACTCAATCCACGACTGTTTGGGGGACGCTGCTGTGCACAATTAGCTGCCACGTTTCACAGATAATACACAGTCAGTCCACTTTACAATGTATTCTGTGAAGCTCTTTAAGACGTCACAAAGACATGATACGGTGCTATAACAAATGCAAAGATTATTATTATACCAAAGAAACCTCAGTGACAGAGCTGCTGCTGTCAAAGTAAAGTGCAATGAATAATAATAATCTTTGCATTTGATATAGCGCCTTATCACGTCGTTCAGACGTCTCAAAGCGCTTCACAGGATATACGGTAAAGCAGATTGACTGTCTATTTTGTGGGCGAAACATGGCTGCCAATTGCACACAGCAGCGTCGCACAAACAGTCGAGGATTGTTTGATCGGCGTGAGTGAATGAGTGGGGTTGAGCAGTGAGTGAAGCAGAGCTACGTTGCTGATTTATACTATACAAGCGTTGTTTTATTCCCGTTGTCTGCTCTCCTCCTGGAGTTACCGCACTCGGTGATGTGAGCAGCGGCTCGTCCAGAAATAAAGCTCCTGTTGGTATCATATCAGGAGCTCGGGCTAGCAAGGCTTTGCAGTCGGAGTGATTTATTTTACCAGAAAACGACGTATGGTAACGTAGAAATCTACAGTGCGGAATGAGGCCATTCGGCTCATCTCACCTGTACCAGCTCACAGAGCAGGGACGTCACCTCAAATCCTCTGCCCCATATTATCCCAAAACCCCCTTCAAGGCCCTCTCTCTCATATACCTGTCTAGTTCCCTGTTAAAAGCTACAATGGATTCTGCCTCCACCACTCTACTGGGCAGGTTATTCCACATCCCAACTACCCTGAGAGACAAAAATCCGCTTAAGTTCTTTTGTTGATCTTGTGAGTAACTTATAATTACGTTCCTAGTCACTGACTCACCTATCAATGGAAATAGTTTCTCCCTACTTACCCTAACAAAACCCTCATCATTATATCTACCTCTTATCAGGATCCCCGCAACCTTTAATGCTTCAACAAAAACAGCTGCAGTCTTTCCGATCTCTCCTCATAACTGTATCCTTCAACCCCAGAATTATTTTCTTAAACCTCCTCTGCACTCTTTATAAGGCCTTAACATCTTTCCTGAATTGAGGTGCCTAAAACTGGACACAGCACTCCAATTGCACCTAACCAATGATTTCTACAAATTTCTGTCAAATGTTAGGATTATTATGTTAACATCCTGGTGAGATGTTTCATTTATCCACCTCATCAAGTGTGTTATCACATGCGTTTTGCTTTTGCTGTTCACTCTGTGTGTCGTTCCCAGCAGTGTTGGCCGGAAATTCGGATCAATCTTTATAATGGGAATTCTCGTTAAGAGACAAGTTTTTTTGCCGAACAATGGAAAAACAATTTGTTTTCAATGGGAACCCGTTCACAGAATACTTGCACTCAATCCACGCCTGTTTGTGGGACATTGACTGCTGTGTGCGATTGGCTGCCGCGTTTTGCCCCAAAAATATACAGTCCATTCGCTTCACAGTGTATTCTGTGAAGCGCTTTGAAATATCTCAAGGAAGTGATAAGCCTATGTCTCGTTTACCTGTCCTGGGTGGATGTTAAAGATCCAATGGAGAAAAGATAAGGGAGTTTCTCCTGGTGTCCTGGCCAAGAATCCTGTCAATGAAACTGGTCACTCACTCCATGGCTGTTGGTGGAATGGAAGGAGAGAGTTCCAGAGGTTTGCGACATTGTGGATGAAGGGCTTGGCCACAGATGGTGACATGGGGCAGGAGTAGGGGGCAGCAGCCAGGAGGGCGAATGTGGGTCTGACCCTTAGTGGAAGGACTGGGGCGACTGATGCTTTGAGGAGAGGAGAGAGCATCACAACAACAGCTTGTATTTATACTCTGCTCTTCACATTCGGGTAAAGTCTCAAAGTGCTTCACAGGGATGGGGTTGGATGCCGAGCGAGGGAGAAAGGGGAGGTGGGGTGTGGGGGTGGGAAGAGGGAGGTAGTCTTAGTTGCATTCAAAGAGGTAAGATTTGAATTGAGAGGGCCTAGATAATGCAGACCATTATACGCTGTTTTATTTATCTGAACAGTCGAACCAGAGGACACAGCCTGTGATTGAAGTGGGGGTAAACTTAGAACAAATCTGTGGAAACACTACTTCAGTGAGCGAGTCGTAAACATATGGAACAGGCTCCCGAGAGAGACAGTGGAAGCAGAAAGTGTTGATTCTTTCAAGAACAAATTAGATAGATTTCTGTTAGGAAATAATATTTCAGGATACAATATATAGTTTAGGACGTGACATGTGCAATTGACTGCCAGGGTGGTGGAAAGCAAACTGGATGGACCTTGGTCTTCTTCCGTCTAGCAAATTCTTATGTTCTTAAGGAGGGGAGAGAGACAATGTGTCTGACACGTGCGGAAACCCATCACCGTGCTTAAGAGTATCCAAACCAAACTGAGAATTTCCCAGCATCCCACCTACACAAGGAAATCCCAGAGATAAGAAGGTTAGCTCGTGGGAACAGACTAGAACTGCAGGAAAGGCAACGTACAGCCAAGCACGGGGTGAAGCCAGGAAAGTCATCAGAGAACTCAAGTGGGATCAGTGGGTTGTGTCACTCCAAAGGCGGCAAGACTGCACACGAACGAGACAGTGAGGAAGAAGGGAGGGAAGGACGAATGACAAAGGAAAGGTCGGTCCGTTGCGTTCCCCTGAGCGGTGCAGCCAGCAGGTTTGGTTCCGCTTCCAGCTGTTCTCTCTGGTTGTATTTCTACAGGTGATCTGGATTACTATTGGCTGGACCCGGCCACCTGGCACAGCAGCGAGAGCTTCCCCATCAGTTCGGTGAGTTTATCCACAGCGACGGTGACTTTACTGGGTGGGGTGTGTGTGTAGGGGGTCACCGAGGACTTCATCCCACAGTCCCATCGCCTCACTCCTTCCCTTGCCTCCTTCAAGGCACATCCCAAGACCCTCCTCTTCGACCGCACCTTTGGTCACCCTCCTACCCCTACCCTCCCTTCCCTCCACCCCTCCTGATGCCAACCCCCAGCTCAGGTCCAAATCTCAGTGCGCTGATGGAGGTTGAGGTGAGCACTGCATTGTCAGAGGTGCCATATCTCGCCCGATCTGCCTGATCACGTAATAAAATAATAATAATCCTTGCATTTGATACAGCGCCTTATCACATTGGAAGGATGTCTCAAAGAGGATTTATTGTGAAATGAAGTGACTGTGTATATTTAAGCAAACAAAGCAGCCAATTTGAGCACAGCAATGTCCCACAAACATCCATGGAGTGAGTGATCAATTTTATTTGGTTGATTGTTGGCCAGGACACCCCAGGAGAGAAAAACTCCCTTCTCTTTTGGAATAGTGCCATAGGATCTTTAACATCCAGCTGAGCAGGCAGACAGGACCTCGGTTTAACATCTCATCTGAAAGACGGCACCTCCGGCAATGCAACACACCACCCCCAGTGCTGCATCAGACTGTCGTCTTAGAATATGTGACTTCAAGTCCCGACCTGGGATTTGAACCCACAACCTTCTGTCTCAAAGGCAAGAGTGTTCAAGACGGTGTCTGTTCAGAAAAGAGGAGGAAGTTGCTTCCAGGGTCCTGGCCAACAATCCATCATATTGATCATTCACTTCAAGCCTGTTTGTGAGACAGTCGCTACACTTGACATCAATTGCCTGCGAAGAGTTTAGTCATTATGGGTGCTAACATCATTTATGTAGCACCTTTCGTACAGGAGGTGTCTTCCTGTGATGGAGCTTGATGCCGAGCTGGGGGATGGAGGGAGGCGATTGTAAGCATGGTCGAATAGGAAGCTCTCCAGGCATGATCTGAAAATGGGGAAGGATAGGGCATAGCAGAGAATTGAGGGAGATAGTTCCAAAGTAAGGAGGTGCAAGGGGTGGAGGGATTTGTAGAGTAATGTATGGTTGAGAGTTTCATTTGAAAGATGGCACCTCCAACCATGTCGCGATTCCCCCAGCACTATTGCGAGTTTAAAGTCCTCGCGTGTGACAAGATATGTTTGGCAATGGAATGCCGGAACAAGTTGCCCCTCTGTCTCAGTTACTGAATTGCAGGTCTGCAGTATTCCAGGGCACTGCTGATGACAACACAGGCTCATCGGAGGAGTTGGAAGGGAAGACCATCCCACTCAACAACAATAACATTACATTTGTATAGCACCTTTCGTGTTGGGAGGATGTCCCAAGGATCTGGACAGTTAATGCTTTGGACTCGAGCTGAGGATCGAGATCACGGAGGGTGGAGGGCAGGGGGGAAAGGAGGGCGACCAAAGGCACGGTCAAAGAGGAGGGTCTCAGCTCCTGTTAACCCTGCAAGCCAAAGCCCTAATGGATAGGGTGAGATCTTACTGAAGTGTTCAGGATCGTAAAATGATCTAGAATAGTATCAGCTTGGCCCAGGTGGTAGTAGTTTTGCCTCTATATCTGACACCCCAATGCAGTGCTGGGACATGTTGCATTATCGGAGGTGCCGTCCTTCGATAGAGATATTAAACCGAGGTCCCATCTGCCTGTTCAGGCGGACGTTAAAGATTCTGTGGCACTATTCGTAGAAGAAAAGGGAGTTTCTCTCTCCCTGTGTCCTGGCCAACAATCTTTCAAATAAAATTAGTCACTGTCTTTGCCTGTTTGTGGAACTTTGTTGTACCCAAATTGGCTGCCACGTTTGCCCAAACATGTACAGTCACTCTATTTTACAGTATATTGTGTGAAGCGCTTTAAGAAGTCTCAACGGCATAAAAAGGTGCTGTATCAAATGCAAGTATTATTTTTATTTTTAAAACCTGTGAAGCGCTTTGAGATATCCTGACAACATAAGGCACTATATCAAGTGCAAGAACTATGATATCGTTATTGTAAAATGGTGCATTTAGATGTATAAACAGTGTTTTGTTATGTAGAGCGAGGAGCTGAGCGGAGCTCCAATGGCTTCGCTCTCATTAAATAGGTGAAGAAAAACGAGTCGGCATTTTATAGTCCTGTTTCTGCAGCTATTACAGTGCTGTTCATCATATTTAAGCTGAGGATAATGGACACTTCCTGGCCAAGGCGAGCTCTTTAAATCACTTTAACTAGCTGTCTGATCTGGTTTTACACAGGCTTCTTAATCATTGCACGGAATATGCTACTCGCTGGATTCGTAGGAACTTCGGAACAGGAGCAGGCCATTTGGCCCCTCGAGCCTGTTCTGCCCTTCTAGAAGATCATGGCTGATCTGTACCTCAACTCCATATACCCGCCCTTGCCCCATATCCCTTGACCCCCTGGCACACTCACCTTGCCAGCGAGAGGACCTGGGTTTGATTCCCAGGCCGGAGCAAAATCTTAGACAAGTTTTCTGACTGCACACACCTCTGTTTACCCAGCAGTAAGTAGGAATCCAGCTGTTAGTTGATTGGCGGATCGCTTTCCAGGGGCAATACACCCCACCCTCCCCCCCCCTCCCCCCACTCCGAAAAAGGCGTTACTCAATCCACCACTGGTTGTCGGCCACTGCTGTGCGCAACTGGCTGCCACATTTCGCCCACAAAATATACGAGAACTACACTTCAGAGTGAATTCTGTGACGGGCTTTGAGCTGTTGAGTAACATTGTGCTAAAAAGTAGAACCAGAGGATGAAAAGGGGGGGATAAATTCAGAACAAATCTGTGGAAACACTACTCCAGTGAGCGAGTAGTAAACGTGTGGAAGCAGAAAGTATCATTTGTTTCAATAATAAACTAGATAGATTTCTGTCAAAAATAATATCGTGGGATACAATATATGGTTTGGGACACGACATGTCAGGCGACTGCCAGGATGGTGAAAGGGTGAACTGGATGGACCCAGGTCTTCTTTTGTCCGGCAAATTCTTCTGTTCTTAAACCGATAACTTGTAATTTCACAGCATCCTGTTACATGGCAGCCATCCAAAGAAGGGGATCGTCTGATTGGACGCATCATCTTAAACAAGAGGACCAGTATGCCCAAAGAATCCGGCTCCTTGTTGGGGTTAAAGGTCAGTGCGTCACGTAGAATCCACACAACTACCGAGGCCATCGAGTCCAGACTGGTGCTTTGGCTCAGTCGGTGGAACTCTTGTCTCCGAGTCAGAAGGTCGTGGATTCATGTGCCACGTCAGGACTCATATAGGAAGGCTGGTCCAACCTTTTGGCTGCTGAGGGCTGGATGAGAAACATCTGTGGGCTGCATAAGCAATATGTTATTCTGATTGGCTCAGGGCAGGCGCTTGTGTGTATTTGCTCGTCGGACAATGAAGTTGGAAATGATTCGCGGGCCAGATGAAATCTTCCACTGGGCCGGATGCGGCCCGAGGGCCACCAGTTGGATCACCCTGGGCTAAAGTAACATTCCAGGACAGTGTTTGGGAAGCGCTGCATTGTCAGAGGTACCATCCTTCGGATAAGATATTAAACTGAGGCCTTGACTACCTGTTCAGGTGGATGTTAAAGATCCCGTGGCGCTATTGAAAAAGAGAAGGGAGTTTCTCTCTCCCAGTGTTCAGGCCAACAACCCCCCAAATATAATTGGACTCTCACTCCATGGTTGTTTATGGGACATTGTTGTACAAATTGGCTATTTTGTTTGCGCACAAATACACAGTATAAATTCTCTGAAGTGCTTTGAGACGTCTCAACGACACGATAAGGCACTATATCAAGGATTATTATTATTATTAGACTCTTTATCAAATGCAATGGTTATTATATAACTCACTCTTCACCAGACTCATGTACTCTAATCCCTATTCCCTTCTATTTCCCTACTCTCTTTCACCATTCACCCATTAAAACCATGACTGCCAGACTCCCTGGCTCCCAGTAATCAGCGGATCGATTTTCTGATCACTGGGCTGACCTACATCTCTTTTCACGGCATTGTTTCTCCCTTACTCGCCTGTAAAGCTCCCTTATAAACATCTGACTCTCTTTTCAAACAACATTCTTATTTCTCCCTCCATGGTGCTCCCATCTAAATTTACGACTAATACAATTACAATCCTTGCATTTGGTATTGCGCTTTTCACGTCTTCTAGACTTCTCAAAGCGCTTCACAGAATATACTGTAAAGTGAATTGACTGTATATTTTGTGGACGAAATGTGGCAGCCAATTGCGCACAGCAATGTCCCACAAACAGTCATGGATTGAGTGACCAAATTTTTATTGTTTTCTTTTCTTGAGGGATTATTATTAGGCGTGTGGAGTAAGGAAACTTGCCCAAAGTTTCACCCTGCCAGGAATCAATCCCAGGTCTCTCGCTTGTGAGGCGAGTGCTCTAACCACTGAGCTACAGGACTCCAGTATAATACCTTCAGACACAGCCTTGCTGCACATTAAGGTCAGAGATGGCCAAGATGATCAATATGAACATCGGAACAGGAGGAGGCCATTCAGCTCTTCAAGCCTGTTCTGCCATTCTGTTAGATCATAGCTGATCTGTACCTCAACTCCAATTACCTGCCTTTGCTCTATATCCCTTGATACCCTGATCTTTCGGGGCAGAGAGTTCCAGATTTCCACTACCCTTTGGGTGAAAAAGTGCCTCCTAATTGCACTCCTCAATGGTTTAGCTCTAATTTTAATTCTAATGCCCCTCGTTCTGGATTCCCCCATCAGAGGAAATAGTTTCTCTGTATCTACCCTATCAAATCCCTTTATTATTTTAAAAACCTTAATTAGATCACAACTCGACCCTCTAAACTCAAGGGAATTCAGGCCACGTTTATGCGAACTTTGCATCATGATTTAACCCTTTAAGGCCTGGTATAATTCTGGTGAATCTGGTGAATCCCATTTCCTGGGAAGGGAGCTCTACCACCTAGTGGCGATAATCTGGGTGTAAATTAACACAAGGAATGTTTTAAAACATCATAAACTTTAACTCTTTCTAATCTCTACTGTGCTTTCTTACCATATCCGAAAATTTAAAATAAATTGAAACTCTCCCGGTGTCCTGGCCAACAATCCCCCAGATAAAATAGGCCATTCACTTCATGGCTGTTTGTGGGACACGGTTGTGCGTAAACTGGTTGTAGCATTTGCTGACAAAATGCACAGTCATTGATCTTTACAGTATGTCCTGTGAATTGCTTTGCGAAGCCACGATGCTGTGATAAGGTGCTACAAATGCATCAAATGCGAGGATTTATACTAGGTTCAATTAGGGACCAAAGAGGAAATTTTCTTGTGGAGGCAGGGCATGGCTGACATATTGAATGAGTACTTTGCATCTGTCTTCACAAAAGAAGATGCAGCCAATACCCCAGTATCGGAGGAGAGGCTAAAGAAATTGGATAGTATAAGAATAAACCGAGAGGAGGTACTAAAAAGGTTATCGATGCTCAAGGTAGGACGGGGTGTATCGTAGGTTACTGAGGGAAGAAAGGATGGAAATAACAGAGGCTCTGGCCACAATCTTTCAATCCTCATTGGACACCGGGGTGGTGCCAGAGGCCTGGCGGGTTGCACATGTTACTCCCCTGCACAAAAAGGGGCAGAAGGATAAACCTGGGAACTATAGGCCAGTCAGCCTAACGTCAGTAGTGGGGAAACTTCAAGAGACGATAATCCGGGACAAAATAAATTTTCGCTTGGAAAAATATGGGTTAATAAAGGACAGCCAACATGGATTTATTAAAGGCAAATCATGTCTAACAAACCTGACACAGCTTTTTGATGAAGTAACAGAGAGGGTGGATGAAGGTAGTGCAGTTGATGTAGTTTATATGGATTTTCAAAAGGCGTTTGATAAAGTGACACCGAAGAGACTTGTAAGCAAAATAGAAGCCACAGTATTAAAGGGACAGTGGCAGCATGGTGAACGGGAGGTTTTAGGTGTTTTTCTGACTGGAGGGAAGTATGCAGTAGTGTCCCCCAGGGGTTAGTATTGGGACCACTGCTGTTTTTGATCTATTTAAACGACCTGGACTTGGGTATAGGGAGTACAATTTCCAAGTTTGCAGATGATTCTAAGCTACGAAAAATAGTAATCAGTGAGGAGGATAGTAACAGACTGCAAGGGGACATAGACAGACTGGTAACATGGGCAGACACGTGGCAGATGAAGTTTATTGTGGAGAAATGCGAAGTGATATATTTTGGGAGGAAGAATGAGGAAAGGCAATATAAGCTGATGGTACAATCTTAAAGGGGGAGAAGGAACAGAGAGACCTGGGGGTTCATATCAGTAAATATTTGAAGGTGGCAGGACAGGGAGATAAAGCTGTTAAAAAAGCATATGGGATACTGGGCTTTATAAATAGCCGCACAGAATACAAAAGTCAGAAAGTTATGATGAACCGTTATAAAACACTGGTTAGGTCTCAGAGAGAGACTGTGATCATAGGCACCACACTTTAGGAAGGATGTCAAGGCACTGGAGAGGGTGCAAAGGAGATTTCCCAGGATGGTACCAGGAATGAGGGACTTCAGTGATCAGGAGGGGCCGGAGAAGCTGGGATTATTCTCCTTGAAGCGGAGAAGGTTAAGAGGAGACTCAATAGAAGTTTTCAAAATTATGAGGGGATTCGATAAGGTGAACAAGGAGAAACTGTTTCCACTGGCGGGTGGGTCGGTAACCCAAGGGCACCCGATTTAAAATAGTTTTTAAAAGAAACAGAGGTGAGGTGAGGAGAAATATTTTCACACACGAGTTGTTGGAATCTGGAATGCATCGTCTGAAAGGCCGGTGGAAGCCGATTCAATAACAACTTTTAAGAGAGAAGTAGATAATTATTTGGGGAGGACAAGTTTGCAGGGTTATGGGGAGAGCGCGGGGGAGTGGGATTGGTTTGGGTAGCTCTTTTCAAAGACCCGGCGCAGTCATGTTGGTCCGAATGGTTTGCGCCGGACACTGTGTTCACGGTTGGTCCTTGTTCACTGGACACCAGCGCTGTGAGCAAAGCCACACATAAGCGATGACTGTCATAATGGGGTCCTCCGGTATTGAGCCATCTCTGCTGTTTGTGGATAAAGTTGTTTTTTTTCCCCCCCGTTTGACGGAGAGAAGAACAGTTTCCGGTGGAGATTTAACCTGACCTTTCTGTCACCCAGGTGGTTGGAGGGAAAATGACCGACGTGGGGAGACTAGGAGCCTTTATCACCAAAGTAAAAAAGGGTAGCTTGGCCGATATCATTGGACATTTGAGAGCTGGTGAGCATAAACCTTACATTGATGCATTCAGGGGAAAGAGGCACAGGACGACTTCGACACAGAATTATTCACCGACACTCTCAACCCAGTGCTGAAGGCCCTGCCTGCCTGTTCAGGTGGATGTTAACAGTCCTATGACACTATTCGGAAAGAAAAAGGAGCTTTTCTCTCCCGCTTGTCCTGGCCAACAATCCCCTCAAATATAATTGATCACTCACTTCATGGCTGTTTGCGGGACATTGCCGTGGACAGATAATCTGCCCCATTTGCCTACAAATACATCATTGCCAAACACTTGAAGACGTTTCAGTGTCACGAGCATCACATGCAATTCAGTCTTTATCTGGGACCCGATGGGGAAAACCCAGGAAAAGTACTTTGAGACGTCTCAACAACGTGATAAGGCACTATATCAAATGCAAGGATTATTATTATTAGTCTTCAAATCCTTTTGCCTTAACAGACACCGCCCAAGGCCAACTTCCACTGCTCCTTTGGTCAGTGTCCGACCCCACCATTGTGCATCGCTGGGTGGCGCTCTCTAGTGTTCAGGGCGCTGTGTAAATGCAGATGATTGCTGCTGCTGTTGTGGTCGCTATTCCTGGATGGAGTGGGTGGAACGTTGGTGAATCTGCTTTTATTTCCCGGTCGCAGGTGACGAGGTGCTGGAGTGGAATGGCAAGCCGTTGCCGGGGGCGACCAACGAAGAAGTTTACAACATCATTTTGGAATCGAAATCGGAACCTCAGGTTGAAATCGTCGTTTCAAGGCCGATAGGGTGAGTCTCTTGAGCGTTTCTGTGTGACTGTGGCTCTGAGCTAGGGAACTGGGCTGTGTCACTGTCATTGACAGGGGACTGAGGCATAATAACACATTGCTGCCACACGGCAAGGCGGAGGGATTGAAGGAGAGAGTTTTAGAGTTCCGGGGCGTAGTGGCTGAAGGCACGGCCGCTGGTGGTGGAGCGGAGGGGACGAGGGACAAGCAGGTGGCCAGAGCCAGCCGAGCGGAGGCAGCGGGTCATGGAGTGGGGAGAAAGCAGTTCGGAGAGGTTAGGGGAGGTGCCAGGGCGCGAAGGGATTTGTACAGAAGGGGAAGAGCGCTGTGTTGCGCTGGGTTCCGATGCATTGCCTCTGTATCTCCGCGTGAACCCATGGCAGGGTGTCTGTTTGCGTTTAACATCTCTTTCTTCCGCCCCCACCCCACACCCCACCAACTGTCTGTTCTTCGTTGAAGATTCTTTTGTCAGTTGCATCCCAAAAACTGCCACAGGCGGGTGTGTAAAATTTACCAGTGAGTAACGAACGCAGCTTGGCTTTGACACCCCACCGCCCCCCCCGTCCCTCACCAGCGGACGCACAGCACGCTTTGGTCCGTTGGGGTCCATTACGGTTTCCGGCTCTTCCCCCGCTCTGTTCCCCCCCCCCCTCCTCCCCCTCACTACTGCAGCTCCTCACAATTTTAAGGGGCTACAAGTTTGCAACTGGTGGAATCAATAAAGCCCGCTTTACCAACCTGACAACTTTGGGCAATAATAATTTGGTCACTTCAATCCACGACTGTTTGTGGGACACTGCTGTGCGCAAAATTGGCTACCGCGTTTCGCCCACAAAACATACAGTCAATTCACTTTACAGTATATTCTGTGTTCTGTGAGGCGCTTTGAGACGAATCAACGGCGTAATGAGGCGCTATATCATATGCAAGGATTATTAGTATTATTATTCTCTCACTGCCCCTCTGGTCCCTGTTTGCGAGCGGTTATTCCTCAAGGACAGAGGTATGGAACTTCAAGCAAAACCAGTAAAATGATGTTCTCGCAACCTCTCCACCCCCCCCCCCCCCCCAGTTGCAAACATTTTATCCTATGAACTGTTGGGAGGTCCTGACTCTCTCCCCTTTTTCTCATCCTTCCCCTCCTCCTCCCCTACCACCCATCTCCATGTCAGAGAAGTTTGACTTCTCCCCTCTCCCCCTCTCCCTGATCTCTAACCCACTCCAGCAGCACTGTTCCTGACCCGGGTTAAACCCACAACTCTCACGTTTCCAACCCCTTTCTCCCTGGTGTTTCCTCAACCTCCTTTCTCGAAGCCGGTTGTTAAGGACCATTAAAGTGGGAATTGTTTTGTCGTTTATCTGTTTAACCCATTTTCACTGATAAACCCCCAGGGTATTTAAACCACTCCTGCCTCTGCGTCAGAAGGTTGTGGGTTCAAGCCCCATGTCGGGACTTGGACTCACATAGTGTAAGCTGTCACTCCAATGCAGAGCTGGGGGCTGTTGCATTGTCGAAGGTGCCGTCCTTCGGACGAGACGTTAAACCGAGGGTCCATCTGTCTGTTCAGGTGGATGTTAAAGATCCAGTGGCGCTGTTCGAAAAAAGAAGGGAGTTTCTCTCTCCCAGTGTCCTGGCCAACAATCCCCCAAATAAAATTGGGCACTCACTCCATGGCTGTTTGTAGGGAAATTGCTGTGCACAAATTGGCTGCCATGTTTGCCTACAAATACACAGTCAATTCAACGACAACAACAACAATAAATTATGTTTATTTAGTGACTTTCACATCAGAACAATGTCCAACTTAATGGAAATCCACTTTACAATGTACCCATGTATCCTGTGAAGCACTTTGAGACATCCTCCTGGTGTGAAAGGCGTTATACCAAATGTACAGATTATTATTAAATAAATGCTGATTTTTTTCACCGAATTTACCCGGGCGGGCGGGAGGGGGCAGTGGGATTGCATTTAGTTCCCCCACCCCCATCCCTCCAAATTTGTCCCTTTTTGTTAGAAAAGACAAATTTCGGAAAATACCTGGGTTTTTATTCCTGTGAATAAGCCACAACTTTAATGGTACTTATTACCTGTTGTATTTTTTGATTTAAAATGTTGTAATATCTGTCTTCTCTGAAAGGAACGCAAAGGTTTGCTTCACGCATGTACGTTCTCCAACATATGCTCACAAGATGTGTGTCAGCCTGGCTCAGTGGTAGCTCACTCGCCTCTGAGTCAGAAGGTTGTGGGTTCAAGCCCCACTTCGGGACTTGGAATCATATAGTCTACGTCATGCTGGGGGTGTTGGAGGTGCCGTCCTTCGGATGAGATGTTAAACCGAGGTCCCATCGGCCTGTTCAGGTGGAAGTTAAATATTCCACAGCACTATTCGAAAATAGAAGGGAGTTTCTCTCTGTCGGTGTCCTGACCAACAATCCCCAAATAAAATTGGTCACTCACTCCATGGCTGTTTTGGGGACACTGCAAACTGACTGCCCTGTTTCGCCCACAAAATGCGCAGTCAATCCACTTTACTGTATATTCTGTGAAGTGCTTTGAGATGTCTTAACGATGTGATAAGGCGTTATATCAAATGCAAGGATTATTATTATTATTATTGTTATTATTATTATGTCCTCAATCTCTTCAGAGCCAAAACCACCATGAACAGATAGGTAGAAATGTCGCGTTGCCATTCCTTCCTCACTCTCATCACAATGTATTCCTTCTGTGGGCATTTTCACTCCTCACTCCCATGTGTGTTTCCCCCCATCGCTACACTTTACAGTCATTCCTTGTGAAGCACTTTGAAACATTTCGAGAACGCGATAAGTTGCTGCATCAAATGCAAGGATTTATTTATCACAATACAAATGACATTTCCACGGCCTTCCTTCTCCCTATCTCACACCTGCTAACTTCATTTCAACTTGTCCGCTCCCTCTGCTCAGTGGGAGTCTGCCCCGCCATTGGCAGTTGGGCCTTCAGCCTCTCCGCCCCCGCTCTTTGGAACTCAACCCCACAGTCCCTTCGCCTCGCTCCCTCCCTTGCCTCCTTCAAGTCCCATCTCAAGACCCTCCTCTTCGACCCTGCCTTCGGTCACCCTCCTACTCCTACCCTCCCTGCTCTCCACTCCTCCTGATCCCAACCCCCAGCTTGGGTCCAAATCCCTGACCGTCCAGCGCCTTGGGACATCCTCCCAACGTGAAAGGCCCTGTACTAAATGTACGTTGTTGCTGTTGTTGGCAATACTGGCTGGGCACCTGAGCTGGGATACAAAATCTTCTCTCACTGTTTACTCATATTAGATAAGTCACGTCATTCCCACTCATCACCCCGACCTGCCTGGTAAATAGATATCACGACAAACAGGAGAGACGGTACCTCTGAATTCTGGTGGGCACGTATTGGGGGGAGGTTGACGGTCGCTGTACTGCAATTGTTTGTTTTAAAACAAATGCGGAGACGTTTGTGTTATTTGTCGTTGTGGTAAGGCTGTATTTTTTTTCCTCCTATCTCCAGCGACATTCCCAGAATTCCAGAGAGTTCTCATCCGCCATTGGAATCAAGTAAGTAATGGAAAGAGCAAGGACGAGATATTTACACATTTCCTGTTGTCGGTCAGCACACACTCGCCTCTGGGTCAGAAGGTTGTGGGTTCAAGCCCCAATTGCTGAGGTCGTGGCCGGGTGGGGGGTCTGGGGGGGGCATTACTGCATTGTCAGAGGTGCCGTCCTTCAGATGAGATGTTAAACCGAGGTCCCATCTGCCTGTTCAGGTGGATGTTTACAGACCCTGCGAGACTCTTTGAAAAAAACGAGGGAGTTTCTCTCTCCAGGGGCACATAGCGCCTTTCACGTCGGGAGGACATCTCAAGGCTCTTGACCATGCTGCAAGGAAACCTGAACTGGAATACAGATCATGACTATCCTCATCAAAGAAAATATAAGGTTTAATAATCACTAATAATTAATATGAATAATGAATGATTAAGCTGGAATATGGGTCACAGGAAGCATCAGCAATCAAAGCAGAATATTTAATAATTCTTATTAATAATATTAATGTGAGAGGAAGTAAGAGATTAATAATATGAATGACAACAAACTACATTTGTAAAGTACCTTTCACATGGGAGGATGTCCCCAGGTGCTTTACAAATAATGAATAATAATGTTAACTATATAATATTAATTAAAGTTTATTAAACATTCTACTTTGATTGCTGATGCTTTCCGTGACCTATATTCCAATTGGTAATACAATTTGCCCACAAAACACATGGATCACTACACTTTACATTATCTCCTGCGAAGCATTTGGTGACGTACTCCCAATGTGAAAGGCGCAAGAGCAGACGTACCGATTATTATTATTATTATTGCATAATTAATAGTTATTATTCATGATTATCAAACCTTATTTTGTTATTATTATTTTGGAGCCTGCACAATCGAGTAGGTCTATCATGGAATTATACAGCACAGAAGGAGGCCATTCGACCCATTGTGCCCGTACTGGCTCTTTGAAAGAGCTGTCCAAATTGTTCCCTCTCCCCCACTCTCCCCCATTCCCCCACCATAGCCCTACAAATTTGTCCTCCCCAAATATCTATCTACTTCTTTCTTGAAAGTTGTTATCGAATCGGCTTCCACCAGCCTTTTAGGCAATGCATTCCAGATTCCCAACAACTCGCTGTGTGAAAATATTTCTCCTCATTTCCCTTCTGGGAGATTATGTTCATTTTGCTTCTGATGTACAAAATCACAAGCCCTTGTAAACATGGATTCACTTGGTTTTGTCCCGGGAAATGTTAACAGATTTTCTGATGGAATCAGAAGGTTGTGGGGTTCAAGCCCCATGATGGGACTTGGAATCATATAGTCTAAGCTGATACTCCAACGTAGTACTGGGGGGAAGGGAGTGGGGGGGTTGGGGTGGGATTTGCATTGTCAGAGGTGCCAAAAAAAGAAGGGAGTTTCAACAAATCCCCTAAATAAAATTGGCCACTCATTTCATGGCTGTTTATGGGGGAATCGCAGTGCACAGTTGTGCTAGGATATCCTGTGAATAGCCTTGAGAATTCCTTCTGACGTGATAAGGTGCTGTATCAAACACAAGGTTATTATTATTACTGTTATTACAACAACAACTTGCACTTATGTAGCGCCCTTCACACAGGGTAGCGTCTCAGAGCGCTTGTTGTTATTATTATTATTACCATCTGTGTTTCGCAAGAGGCTTTTCTGATCGATCCCGTTTGTCTATTCACAGGTTCCAGTTCCTTCGAGTCCCAGAAGATGGAACGGCCATCAATTTCAGTCATTTCTCCCACCAGCCCTGGCACCCTGAAAGATGCCCCTCAGGTCTTACCTGGACAGCTCTCAGTGAGTAACCCAGAGCTGGAGTGTGGGGGCTCCTTTCTCTGTAACCCTCACTCGCTCTCTCTTTTTCTCTCAGTGAGTAACCCAGAAATAAGATGAGGACTCCTCTCTGTAATCCTCTCTCTCTCCCCCCCCCTCTCTCTCTCTCGCTCTCAGTGAATAACCAAAAGTGGGAGATAGACTGGGAGAGCTTTCTCTTTGGCCCTCGCTCCGTCTCTCTCTCTCTCTCTCTCTCTGTCTGTCAGTCTCTCTCTCTCTCTCTCACACACTCTTGAGTAACAGTACCTTGTGATTCTTTACTGAAATGGCACAACAGTGGCAGCCATTAAAGGAGGTCTCGTCTGCCTGTTCAGGTGGGCGTTAAAGATCCCATGGCGATGTTCCAAAAGAGACAGGAGTTTCTCCTGGTGTCCTGGCCAACAAATCCCCCAAATAAAATTGGTCATTCTTTTCACAGCTGTTAAAATGCTAAACTGTGTGAACGACGCAAAAGAAATGCAAGTTGCTGTTGAAGGACATTGCTGTGTGCAAATTATCTTCTGCTTTCACCTAAAAACACACAGTGACTGAGCTTTACAGAATATCCTGTGAAGCGCTTTGAGACGTCCTCGCTGTGAAATACAATGCAATTTACATTTCACGTCGGGAGGATGTTTCAAACAGTTTAAAAAAAAGGAAAAGGCAGAGGGCGAAACCTTGGGCAAGTTTCCTTACTCCACACGCCTAATAATAATCCCTCCAAAACTAAAAACAATAATTAAATTGGTCATTTTCAATCTACGACTGTTTGTGGGACATTGCTGTGCGCAATTGGCTGCCGCGTTCGCCCACAAATATACAGTCAATTCACTTTACAGTGTGTTCTGTGAAGCGCTTTGGGACGTCCTCCCGACGTGAAAAGCGCTATATCAAATGCAAGGATTATTATTATTATTATTATTAAAAGACTCTATCAATTGTAAGGAATGCTATTGTTATTATTACTATTATTATTTTTTACCATTATTGTTATTACAATTGTTATTACAGGTAAAGCTCTGGTATGACAAGGTGGGGCACCAGCTGATAGTTAATGTTTTACAAGCCACCGACCTGCCTTGCCGAGAGGAGGGACGGCCTCGAAATCCTTACGTGAAAATGTACTTTCTCCCAGACAGGAGGTGAGCAGCGAGAATCCTACTGTGTCAGTCGCTGTGTGTCAGTCTGGCTCAGTCGCTGTGTGTCAGTCTGGCTCAGTCATTGGGTGTCAGCCTGGCTCAGTCACTGTGTGTCAGTCTGGCTCAGTCACTGTGTGTCAGCCGGACTCAGTCACTGTGTGCCAGCCTGACTCAGTCACTTCACTGTGTGTCAGCCTGGCTCAGTCACTGTGTGTCAGCCTGGCTCAGTCACTGGGTACCAGCCTGGCTCAGTCACTGGGTACCAGCCTGGCTCATTGGTAGCACTTTCAACTCTTGAGTCAGATTGTGGGCTCAAGCCTCATGTCGTGTCTTGAAACCCATATAGTCTAAGCTGATGCTTCAAAGCAGTGCTGAGGGTGTGACAATGCAGTGAGAAGGAAATTCACTTTCTGTTTGTGGGACATTACTGTGTGTGTAAATTGGCTGCAGGATTCACCAACAGTCCCAGCACTTTACAGTAAGAAATTCCTGTGAGATGTCTCGACGATGCGATAAGGCGCTATACCAAAGGCAAGGATAATTAGCAACATAGGAATTGCTAGACGAGAAAAGAGCAAGGTCCATCTAGTTCACCTTCCACCATCCTGGTAATCGCTTGTTAAGCTACAATGATGGAGATGATCTACGTAAAGGTTCCATGGGCCGAATGGCCTCCTATTGCTATGACTTTGTGGAATCAGTAGCGTTGGCTGTTTGGTTGAACCCTGTGTGCCTGTGTGTGTGTGTGTCATTCCCACCCAGTGACAAGAGCAAGCGAAGGACCAAAACTGTAAAGAAAAGTTTGGAGCCCAAATGGAATCAGACCTTTCTCTATTCCCACGTCCATCGGAGGGATTTCCGGGAGCGGATGCTGGAGATCACCCTCTGGGACCAGCCTCGGGTACAGGAGGAGGAAAGCGAATTTCTCGGAGAGGTAAAGAAACCCCCCAAAAATTCATGTAAAAATAATTGCTGCCCCCACCCTCTGGAACTCCATTCCAGAGCCCCTCCGTCTCGACCCCTCCCTTGTCTCCTTCAAGACCCGTCTCAAGACTTTTCTCTTTGACTGTGCCTTTCGCCATCCGCCCTCCCCTGTCCTCCCCCACCCTCTGCCCCTCTCAATTCCAGCCCCCAGCTCGGTTGCAGACCCTTAACTATCAGGGCCTTGGGACATCCTTCCAATGTGAAAAGCGCTGTGTAAATGTAATTTGTCCTAGTTGTTCCTTCAGCCATCTTTCCCCTCCTGCCCACTTGGCTCCCACCCGCAGTTTGGGGCAGTGGGTTCCTGTCACACAGCAGAGAAGGTGAACAGGGTCATATACAGAGTTAGTGAGCAGCTCACTCCTGTTTCCTCCAACAGACCCCCTCCCTTCCCGTCCCCCCCACAAACACAAGCGCTATTCCCCCACGGTTTCCTACACAGAGAGTAAACGCGGAATCCTGGCATCCCATACTGCCCCGGTTTCCAGTCCCCCCCGCACCGCGCAGGAGAATATACGTCAACAGTGACCTTACAACCTGGAAGTGCTGACCGGCAGCCATTTTCGTTGCACCCACACGATGACCCGGGGCGTGAGCCTAGTCGGTTGCCCGTAAACCCTTTTAACAAAATAAATAAATTTGGTCACTATTTGTGGGACGCTGCTGTGCGCAATTGGCTGCCGCGTTTCGCCCACAAAATACACAGTCACTCCACTTTACAGTATATTCTGTGAAGCGCTTTGAGACGTCTCAACAACGTGATGAGGCGCTGTATCAAGTGCAAGGATTGCTTTTGTGATTTAGATGGCGTGTTTCTGCCTTTGCAGATCCTGATTGAGTTGGAGACGGCGCTACTTGATGACGAGCCACACTGGTACAAGCTTCAAACCCACGACGTGTCCTCACTACCTCTGCCTCAGCCATCGCCATACATGCCACGGCGGCACGTCCACAGCGACAGCCCCAGTAAACGACTGCAAAGTAGGTCCTTGTTCATTGCGCTGGTACCATAAGACTTGAGGCCAGGTTACAGTCTGGTCCGAAGAGGGAATCCTCTTAGACACATAGATATAGGAGGAGGCCATTCAGCCCCTCGAGCTTGTTCTGCCATTCTGTTAGATCATGGCTGATCTGTACCTTAACTCCAATTGCCCGCCTTTGCCCCGTATCCCTTGAAACCCTTACCTAACAAATATTAATTAATATTAATTAATTAATATTTGTTAGTCCTGTAAGCTCAGTGGTTAGAGCACTCGCCTCGCAAGTGAGAGGACCTGGGTTTGATTCCTGGGCAGGGCAAAATGTTGGGCACGTTTCACTACTCCACATGCCTCTGTTTATCTAGCAGTAAGTAGGAACACGATTGTTAGTCGATTGGCCGATCGCTTTTTTCCGAGGCTAATAACCCTAAAAAAAACAATGATAATTTGGTCACTCAATTCACAAAGGGGACACTGCTGTGCGTAATTGGCTGCCACATTTCACCCACAAATATACAGTCAATTCACTTTACAGTATATTCTGTGAAGTGCTTTGAGACGTCTAGAAGACGTGAAAAGGCGCTATATCAAATACAAGGATTATTATTATATTATCCTCACACAATCACTATATTTTACAATATATCCTGTGAAAAGCTTTGAGGCGTACCACTGACCTGAAAGGTGCAATATCAAAACTCAAGGGATTATTATTAACATTAATAATAATATTTCAGGTTGTTAACTTACTGATGTGATAAATGTGTTACTGTAAGCGTGAATGATCACTGTAATGATCCCAGGTACCAGCTGTTCTGTCTGTTTGTCCATCACTGCCCAGGGTCTCAGCGAGTTGGTGATAGTGGCGGCTCAGAGTATGATGTTGATGATACTATTGGCGTGATGACCACAGGTGGGTGGGAGCGACAGAGCCAAGCAACGAAATGGCCTCTCACTCTCTCTCTCTCTCTCTCTCTTTCTCTCATTTACTGCTTGCTTTTGTTGTATGGGCTCCAGCAGGAGGGCAGAATCTCGCTCCTGGACACAGAGAGTACAAAACACATATCTCTGTGTTGACGGCAATTGTCACTGAACCTTTGATATCCGCTGCCTAAAAGTCTGTGAAGCGCTTTGCGACATCTCGAAGACGTGATAAGGCGTTATATCAAATGCGAGGATTATTATTATTACTAGCAAGGACTATGTTCAAATGGATTTCACAATGCCTCGCCTTTGCTGCATAACTGCCTCTCTCAGTCGCGCTGTCTTGCAAAGCTCTTGGGGTTATTGGGTTTTGCATGCCTTTAAGGTCTACGTTGTTCTTTACACTCATTGAGGGAGAAATAACACCTGGGGCTAGATTTATTGTTTTATTATTAACGCAGCATTTCAGGGCACCCGGGATTTCGCAAATTGTTCAATGCGTTAAAGATAATAAGTAATCCTTGCATTTGATACAGCAGCTTATATATATTGTAAAGTGGATTGACTGTGTATATTGGGGGCGAAACGCAGCAGCCAATTGAACACAGCAATGTCCCACAGACAACCATGGATTGACCAATTTTATCTGGGGGAATGTCGGGCAGGACACCGAGAGAACTAGAGAAACTCCCTTCTTTTTTCGAATAGCACCACGGGATCTTTAACATCCACTTGAAGAGGAAGATGGGATCTCAGTTTAACGTCTCATGCAAAGGACGGCACCTCTGACAATACAGAGCTCCCCACCCCTTCTCCCCCTCAGCACTGCATTGAGAGTGTTGGTGAATAATTCTGCGTCAAAGTCGTCCTATGCCTCTGCTTTGAGTCAGCTGTAGACTATTCAGTTATCATCGTAGGTTGTTTGAATTGAAGTCCCGACCCGGGGCTTGAACCAACAACCTTCTGACCGAGAGGCGAGAGTGCAACCACCGAACTGACACACGAGATCCCGAAAAGAGAAGGGAGTTTCTCTCTCCTGGTGTTCTGGCCGACAATCCCCAAAATAAAATCAGTCACTCGCTTCATCGCTGTTTGTGTGGACTTTGCTGCAACAATCACCCATAAAACACAGTCACTGCACTTTACAGTAAAATCCTGTTAAGTGTTTTGAGATGTCGCAACAACGTGATAAGCTGCTCTATCAAATGCAAGGATGGCTATTCTTGATCGTTATTAAAATTCAGCCTTTGAAGTCTGATTTCTGAAGTTTCTTTGAGACAATCAGAGAGAAAAATGGCTTCACAGTTAAGTGCTGTGTTTAAGAAATTCACCAAATTGCGGAACGCTCTAAAACCACACCAAAAATCAGCAGAATAAATGTAGACGGGGGTGGAATTTCTCCCCAGTGAACAAATAACAGGGTTTGGGTTCATCAGCATGAAACCACAGATATGAAAGGTTATTATTTCACGCAGGCTTTTACCTTACTTTTTTTTTGCAAATGTCTCTTCGCAAGTTCTGACTAACCAGTGGTAACGCTCCCGGTGTTTGTTTGTTTGTTTGTGTGTGTGTGTTTGTGTGTTTTTGTCTCGCTGTTTTGATCTCTCACCCCACAGATTACAGGGCGAGCAGTAGAGAGAGCAGGTCGAGCACATTAACAGTGCCGGAGCAACAGAGACTCCCCCACCATCGTTCCCGCTCTGTCTCCCCTCACCGCGGTGATGGCCAGGGCAGGAACCGCTCACGTTTACCCAGTGTCCCCCTCCAGAGGTGGGTCTGTGCTTCTCAGTTTGGGCAATAACCAGTGGGTCTGTCTCGCTCCCCACAGCGATTGCCTTGCTTTTCACTTTGTTATTGTCGGCCTGGCTCAACAACTACAACTTGCAGTTATATCGGCGTCCCAGAGCGCTTAACAGTGGCGGAGCCCGAGGCTGATCCAGGGGGAGGGGGAAGGTGACCGTAGGCGCAGTCGAAGAGGAAGGTCTTCAGGCGAGACCTGAAATGGGGAAAGAGTGGGCGAGGCTTAGGGATTGAGTCAATAGTGCTCTCACTTCTGGGTCAGACAGCATTGATGTCATGGATTGAGCTGTGTTGAGGTGGGAGGGGAGGGGGAGGGGGAGGGGAGGTAGCGCTGGATTGTTGCAGGTTCTGTCCGTCTGATGAGATATTAAGAGCCCTGTAACAAGTGGACCTGGGTTCGATTCCCAGGCAGAGCCAAATCTTAGGCAAGTTTCCTTACTCCATGGGCCTCTGTTTACCCAACAGTAAGTAGGAACTCGGTTGGTTAGTCGATTGGTGGATCACTTTCTGGGGGTAATAACCCTTCAAAAAATTAATTAAAAAAAAGTAATTTGTTCACTCAATCCACTCAATCCACGACTGTGTGTGGGGACATTGCTGAGCGCAATTGACTGCCGCGTTTTGCCCACAAAATACACAGTCAGTTCACTTTACAGTATATGCTGAGAAGCGCTTGGAGACGTTTCAACGACATGATAAGTGCAAGGATAATTATTATTATTATTATAGTTCCATTGGAATGGGATTTTTCCATTGTGAATGGATGTCTGCCGAGGCTGCTCCTCGTTGTGGCCAGAGGAGGAATTGCTTGTCGCGTTATTCAGGCAGAAATGAAACTGCTCTGATTGCTAACTGTTTCGTTTTTGACAATCCTCCATCGAAATTGTCAATATTATTATTATTTTTATTTACCTCGGAAAGAGAGGGGAGTTTCTCCCAATGTCCCTGGCCAACACATTCCCCCCCCCCCCACACACACACAGATAAAAAAAATTGGTCGTTTGCTTTATGGATTATTTGTGGGAAATTGCTGCCCTCCTGTCATGAAAGGCACTGTACCAAGTGTGCAAAGTTTGTTTTATTTTGTAGCTCAGTGGTTCGAGCGCTCGCCTCACAAGTGAGAGGCCCCGGGTTTGATTCTCAGGCAGGGGAAGCCTTAGGCAAGTTTCCTTACTCCACATGCTTCTTTACTTAGCAGTAAGTTAGTCGATTGGTAGATTGCTTTCTACGGGTAACAATCCTTTAAAAAAATAAATATAATAATAATTTGGTTGCCTCGTTTTGTCCCTAAAATACACAGTCAATCCACTCTACATTACATTCTGTCAAGCGCTTTGAGACGTCTCAATGACGTGATAAGGCATTATATCAAATACGAGAAATATTATTATTATTATTTATTTAATCTTTCTCCGCAGGAGTTTAGATGAAATCCACCAAAGCCGGCGTTCCCGATCCCCCACTCTGTATGAAGACGGCTCCTGCAGCCCAGTAGAGCACATGTCCAGGGACTCGGACAGTCGGTACTCATCGTATGATCCAGACAGGTACAGACTTCGGTCGAGTTGCTTGATCCTCTGTTAATTTTGTACATGAGAAACTAGTCATGTCGTGTGCGTGAGTGCATGTGTGTATGTGTCTGTATGTGGTGTTTATGTGTGTGCATATGTTTCTGTGTGTGATATGTGTATGGGTGTGTGTGTGTGTATGTGTGTGTGTGGTATGGGTCTGTGTGTGTCTGTGTGTGTGGCGTTTGTGTCTGTGTGTGGTGGTGTGTGTGGTGTGTATGTGTGGGGGGGAATGGTTTGTGATGTGTGCGGTGTGTATTGTGGTATGTGTGTGTGTGCATGTATGTATGGGTGTGTGCATGGGTGTGGTGTGCATGTGTGTATGGTGTATGTATCTGTGTGTGCGTGGGGCGGGGGGTGTGGTGGGGTGGGGGGGGAGGATGGTAGGGGTGTTTGCAATATTTTTTGTTGTGCCTCAGACTGTCACCTGTGCTTGTAATGAACCAATGGATGGAATTGCAAGATGCTGTGTGAATGGAGTACAGGGAGAATATCTGTGTGTAAAACCCCTCGGTTTCTATGAACCTGCTGAAAGTCTTCAGACCTTGCGGACACACATTTGCGCGCAGTCCGTGACAGCAGTTATTTTCCTTGGACGTAACCTTGTTTTCCAGTCGGACACAAATCAACCCCTATAAAGCACGGGTGGGAGTTAGCTCTCATGTCTACTGTGCTCAGGAGAACCAATGATCTCATCCACATCACAGTCCCTGCCTGCAAATGGCCCTGGAGACACACTTGTTGCTAGTGCTGTTTAGACCCTTGTTACTTCCAACATTGGCCAGAGTCAGTTATTGTGATGTATTGTTTCAAAAGATCACCTTCCCGTGAAACAAAATCCATTGGCTGTTATTCTATTCCCATTTACTATTATTATTAGTATTATTAATAATAATCCTCGCATTCGATACAGCTCCATTCATGTTGGGAGTGAACCTCAAAGCGTTTCAGAGGATTTTACTGTGAAGTGCAGTCGAGTGAGTGACTGTGTTTTTTGTGGGCGAAATGTGGCAGCCAATTTGCGAACAGAAGTAGCCCCACAAACAGCCATGATGTAAAGAACCGTTTTTTTCTGGGGGATTGTTGGCCAGGACAACAAGAGAAACTCCCTACTCTTTTCAAATAGCGTCAGGGGATCTTTAAAGTCCACCTGAACAGGCAGATAGACCTCCTTTTAATGTCTCGTCCGAAGGACGTCACCTCCGACAATGGAACACAAGCCCCCTCCCACCACCCCAGCACTGCATTGAAGTGTCAGCTTAGACCATGTGATTCCAAGTCCCCGATGTGGGGCTTGATCCCACAACCTTCTGACTCAGAGGCGAGAGAGAGTCCTACCACTGCTCCAGGCTCAGGGAAGAAACTGTGGGAAGTGTATTGTCAGAGTTGCTGTCCTTAAGACAGTAAATTGAACTTGCATCCAACTGTTGGATGTTGAACAAAACAAGGAGTTGGGTTTATATAGTGCCTTTCACACAATGTAGCATGATGTAGCATCTCAGAGCGCCTACCAGCGGTGGAGCCTGACACCAAGCCGGTAGGAAGGGGTAGGTCATAGTAGGGCACAGTCAAAGAGGAAGGTCTTAAGGGATGATCTGAAGATGGGGAAGGAAGGGGCAAGGCTGAGGGATTGAGGGAGAGAGTTCCAAAGTTTCGGGGCTTAAGTGGATGAAAGCACGGCCACTGCCGGTGGAGTGGATGGGACGAGGGACATGCAGGAGGTCAGAGACAGTCAAGTGGAGTCGGCGAGTGGTAGAGTGGGGAATAAGCTAGTCAGAGGGCTAGGGAGGTGCCAGGGTGTGAAGGGATTTGTGTGAGGATCTTGAAATCAATCCGTTCTGTGATAAGGATCCAGTGAAGCCTGGCTAGGACTGGTGGGATGGGGGTTCGGGGTTTAGAGCAGGGTTAGAGACACCAGAAGAGAAGAAATTTTCAACGATTGACCCGGACATGGACAATTCTCCGAATTGGTTATGTGGCTGTTTGTGGCAGCTGCACAGAAAGAGTTATTACACTCAACAACTTGCACTTCCATATAGGGTAACATCTTGAAATACTGCAGAGAAACGTGAATTTCCAGGTACTAAAGCACTGTTCTTATCAGTTACTCCTTGGGCTTGCAGCAGTAGGAGGATTATGGGCAGGATTGAGCTCCTGGCATCAGCTATGACTTTAGCCCTCTGTTGGCTGTGATTGGTATTGTAGTCCCTTAGTGTGGTCTGCCCTCACACAGAGAAAGCTGAGATACAGGAACACACTTAAGCACCTGGTCATTTGGCTCAGGCCAGTCTCGCCCTACCAGAGAGCCCATCTCATCACCTGACTTGCTCGGGTAGTTTGGAGACAGGCATCAGGTCCGTATTATCCTTAGATGATCTGACGAGGATCGGGGCTTGTCTGCGGGGTTCTTGAGATATAGACTGAGAGGGTGGAGCGTGGGGTGGGGGGCCAGAAGATGAACGTAAGAACGTAAGAAGTGCGAGATGAAAGAAAACTGAAGTCCATCCAGCTCGCTTTCCACCATCCTGGCAGTCGCTTGCACATGTCATGTCCCAAACTATATACTGTATCCCGAGATAGTATTATTTTCAGTACAATTGCAGCCTTGGAGGCTTTGGCAACTCGGTTTTATTTATCTTTCCAATCACGTACATCATGGCTGTTTGCGGGAATATCGCTGTGCGCTCGTATGCAGGACACATGTTACAGCGAATCCCGTGAAGCGTTTCCACACGCCCCCCCCCCCCACCCCCGGACACGAATGGTGCTATAACAAATGTGGGGATGGATTATTTTTTATTGTTAGCTTCGACAGCCACACTCGCACCCCTCCACTTCACCAGCCCGTAACGTGTGATTGGCACCAGCGTCGAGATGAGCTAGAAATTACTTCTTTTTTGGAGGGGAGAGGGGGAAGGTTTTTAGAAGCTTTTGGACCATATTCTGGAGATGCCCCCCCCCCCCCCCACCCACCCTTGCTCCACTTGTCGATCCCTGATGGTGGGGGAATTAGACTCAACTTTGTTGATGAACGAAGGAGGGAGAGGGGTGGTGGGAGAATGAAAAGTTGTTGGCTGATGAAGTGTTCATTGGGAAACCACTCACACTATGAAACGCTCTTCGGACGTAGAGTGAGGAGCCCCATGGTCCAGGCTGATTCTCAAGTCATCAGCTGCAAGGCCACATCAGGTTAGAGTCAAGACCTGGTGTGATTACGTTTGAGAGATGATGTTCATTAACTTGGTGGCATCTTTACGCCAGCGTTTTTCCCCCCACCCACACCCCCCCATCTTTCTGAGGGCTTCCAAAGCCTCATTTTCTCCACATCAGGGGGGAGAGGCCAGAAAGCCAGGGAACCAGCACAACTCTGTAGATTTGATGGAAGGGGGAGATCAATGAGGCAAATGATCTTCTCCAGGTGAGACCATGTCTTGTGCGTGCGAGGTGTCAGTTGGGAAAGGAGGGGAAGGGGTGAGTGGTGGGGGGGATGGGGGGCGTGGTGAGGGAGGGAGGGGATAGAGGGAAGCAGCTGGAGACGGGGGAAGCAAAGAAACACAAGTCACCACCGGCATGAACGTAAAACACTGACCAGCGTTTCTACGGATATATTAAGCTGCTCGCGTGCGCCTAAATGTTCGATGATAAAAAAAAGACTCGTTGGTTGGTTGGTTGATTCATTCTCAGTGACATCTTCATCATATCTCACTTTCTTTCTCACACGCCCCCCCAAAACCCCATCCCACCCATCTCATCGCTCTGACCTTTTTAACCCCCCCCTCCCACCCCACCATCCTCTCCACCCTTCACCCTCGGGGCCCATGGCTCATCAATCATTCATCATTGTCTGTGCAGTGAGCTCCTTATGCTACCCAAGGCAAAGCGTGGAAGAAGTGTGGAGTGTTTGCACACATCCAGGTAAGTATATAACAGCAGCCTAAAGAGCAAATTCACAGCACCTTTCTCCCTCCCGAGCAGTAAGTCAAGGCAATCTGATGAATGACTTTCATTGTTTTCCCATTGGTACATTTTTATTGACCGTGTTGTTGTTGTTTGGTGAAGTGCCTTTACTGTTTCTTTAGTTAATTCATTGTTACCCATCGTCTGCTCAGCATCAGCCACGCAAACGCTTAGTCCCTCTCTCTCTCTCTCTCTCTCTCTGTGCCTCGCTCCCTTGCTCGTGCCGAAAGCTAGCCAGCGCCAAATTGGGCAATCCTCCTTTCTCTCTCGCACGGATTTTCTGACCACGCTGGCGAGACGCGCCGGTTATATCTCGTCGAACCGCATTGGGAGCGGGGGAGGAGGCTGAGCTGCTTGTTGTCCGCTATGTCGCCTCACCGGTGGTCTGAAAGGGTGACGCTCGTAAACGAGAGGGGGCTGCTTTGTGAGTCGGTGGTGGGTGGGGAGGGTGAAGTATCCATGCCGCCAAACACTTACGGTTTACGAGTCGCGATCACCGCTGGCTGTGGTTTTGCCGAGAAAGAGCCGTTTCTCAGCCGAGGAAAGGAAGTCCAACAGGGTTTTTGGTGGAAGTAAAAGTGTCTCAGAAGGACACTGCAGATGGCGAGATGTTTCAGGTGGCGAATGAAGCTTTTTTGCAAGCTGGTTGCATGTTTGGTCTATGCAGGTCAGAGGCTGGTGGTAAAGTCCTCCAAGCTGGTAGCACCTCACTCTTCAGTATCTCCTTGGCAGACACTCAGCTCCATCAATGCAGCCAGTCTCTATAATAACAGCAATAATAATAATCCTTGCATTTGATATAGTGCCTTATCACATGTTTGAGACGTCTCAAAGCGCTTTAACAAAATATATTGTAAAGTGAATTGATACTATAACTTGTGGGCGAAATGCGGCAGCCAATTGTGCACGGCAGTGCCCCACAGACAGTCGTGGATTGAGTGAACAAATGTTTTTTTGGAAGGGATTATTATCCCCAGAAAGCGATTTGACAATCAACTAACAACCGGGTTCCTACTTATTGCTGGGTAAGCAGAGGCGTGTGTAGCAAGGAAACTTGCCTACGGTTCACCCTGCCCAGCAATCGAACCCAGGTCCTCTCGTTTGCGAGGCGAGTTCGGTAACCGCTATGCTACAGGACTCTACATACACTATAATGCACGGCCATGACATTTGACGAACCGCACACAGTTCATGTACAGAAAACGTAAGGGACAATTAAGGCTGGAGATCATTGTTCCATCTCACTAACCATCCAATATTCTCAATGACTGCTCAATGCATCGAAACGTACAAAGTATCTCCTCGACAAACATCAGCCTTCCTCAAATTGATTTGACAAATGACTCCCAACGGTCACATTGTGACACTGCCATATCAATTCTTTTTATTTGGGGGATTGTTTGCCAGGACACCGGGAGAGAGAAACTCCCTCCTCTTTTCCAATAGTGCCGTGGGATCTTTAGCATCCACTTTAACAGGCAGACGGGACTTCGATTTAATGTCTCAGCCGAAGGACGGCACCTCCGACAATGCAACACTCCCCCAGCCCTGCACTGGAGCGTCAGCTTAGACTGTGTGATTCCAAGTCCCGACATGGGGCTTAAACCCACAACCTTCTAACTTAGAGGCGAGAGCGCTACCACTGCCCCTGGCTGACACAACAAACGGTATGGGGGGGAGTAGGGCAGGTAAATGGGACTGAAAGGGTTGCTCTTAAGTGAGCCATCATAGACACAATGGGCTGAATGGCCCTCTTCTGTGTTGTAAATTTCTATGGTTCTGAATTCAGGGAGTTTTCTTGAGGCAAAGGAGAGGAATTGAAACGTTTTACAGGTGAAGCGTAATTTGCTGTCCTTCGTACAGAGGGAGCTGTTGATCTTCTCGATAAGCCGTCAGCAGCAGCACAGAGTAAGAACATTGTTGAATGCAGCAAAGTTCTCGCAAGAAGCTGGACATCAGCTGTCCAGGTGTCCCCTCGTGCATCGTTATGTTTCTACCAATTTCTGCTGAGGTGCCAACGGCCTATTCAGGGCAGAGCGAAACGTTGGGCAAGTTTCCTTAATCCACACACCTCTGTTTACCCAGCAGTAAGTAGGAACTCAGTCGTTAGTCGATTGGCGGATCGCTTTCTGGGGATAATAATCTCTCCACAAAAATTAATTAAAACAAAAATAATTGCTGTCGTGTTTTGCCCACAAAATATACAGTTAATTCACTTCATGGTCTGTCCTGTGAAGTGCTTTGAGACGTCTCAACGATATGGTGAGACGCTATATCAAATGCAAATATTATTATAAATATAGACACTAATGACCATCAAAAGTGTGTCTCAGGGAAGTGCTGAGTGCGTTACTCCTCAGGGACGCTGTTTCGCCCGCGCGCGTCTGGTTCCCGTAAGAGCCTCGACCTCCCAGTCACGAATTGCTTTATCCGATGCGAGGTGCTGTTTGCAAAGCCGCTATCCCCGCGTGTGTTTGTTAACCCTCTCGCTCGTTTTCAAATCCCTTCATGCCCTGGCACCTCCCTACCTCTCCAACCTGCTTACTACAAACCCGCTGCCTCCGCTCGACTGGCTCCAGCCCCCTGCATGTCCCTCGTGCCCTCAGTTCCACCATCAGTGACTTCACTTTCAGCCACTACACCCCAAAACTCTGGAACACTCTTCCTCAATCTTGCCCCCTCCTTCTCCATCTTCAGGTCACGCCTGAAGACTTTCCTCTTCAAACGCACCTACGGTCACCCACACCTCCCTCCCTGCTCATGCTCCACCACTCTCAAGCGCTCTGGGATCCTACCCTGTGTGAGGGGCGCTACCTACATGCAAGTTGTTGTTGTCAGCACGTTCTGTTCTGTGCTGTGAATTCCACTTTACCCTGTTTGACTGGACGCTCAAGGTATCTTCATTTGTGTTTAGATCATTAACTGTAAGGAAACATAATCCCCCAAAAGGCTGTGGATGTTGGATCCATTCAATACTTCAAGGCTGAGGTGGATAGATGTTTGTTAGGTCAGGGTATCAAGGGATATGGGGCAAAGGTGGATAATTGGATTTGAAGTACAGATCAGCCGTGATCTGAAAGAATGGCAGAACAGGCTCGAGGGGCTGAATGGCTTATTCCTGTTCTTATGTTCCAATGTTCCTATATCTGCATACCCTTGGGGAGAGGGAGGGAATCGATTACAAATACATTTGAACTCCTTTTAGCCCTCTCCCAATTCCAAACTTTTCCGTCAATTCCCACTTCAACCAACTAGAATTCCCATCAGGAATAAAAACATTTCTGAGGCGGCAACAGCATTTCGGGTCATTTTACTCTATCTTCTCTTTTACGTTAAGATTCTTTTTCTTTTCTCTCGTTGTTCAGAGGGGAGGTTTGTGACTTTTTTTTCTTTTTCTTTTCTTTTCGCTTTCTGTTGTGTCTGTTTCTCTGCTGCTCCCAAACCAGAAATGTCCTTAGCTACGGTAGGACCTTGCCTCCCAAGATGCCATTGTTAATGAATGGCATTCACCGAGATGTTTACAGGTAAGACGGGAATCAAAAAGACACATCCAACACATCTAACACCTTATGTTACTCTAGCCGTGAAGGACAGGAGCTTCAATTGGGCGGAAGAAACCAAATTGCTAACACTTTACAATCCCATAGAGTCACCTCATGAAGTCCCATAGTGGACTGGTTAGAGCACTCGTAAGCAAGAGGACCTGGGTTTGATTTCCGGGCAGGGCGAAATCTTAGGCAAGTTTTTTTATTCCACACACCTCTGTTTATAGCAGTCAGTAGGAACCCGGTTGTTAGTCGATTGGCGGATCACGTTTCGGGGTAATAGTCCCTCCAAAAAAAAAAATTGGTCACTCAACTGTTTGTGGGGCTCTGCTGTGTGTGATTGGCTGCTGGGTTTCGCCCCCAAAATCCCCACTCAGTCCACTTTACGATACATTCTGTGAAGCGCTTTGAGACGTCTCAACGACGTGATAAGGCGCTATATCAAATGCAATGATTATTATTATTCGAGACTAGCTTCAAATAGGATTCAAATTTTGCCATAATGGTCTGTTAAAAGAGAATGGAGTGGGGGGTTAGCCTCTTGTGACACTTAACCAAGCCAAAGCACTAATGGGTCAAGTGGTACTGGTGTCAGTAATGGCAAGTTTCAGCTGGTTAAACAGTTAGCCCAACACACATTCTGGAGTCCCCAAGTCTTGCCTCTCATCAACCTGCGCCTATCTCTTCAGAGATTGTGTCAGCAAGGTTCTTCCCTTTGAGAAGAGAGAGTGCCACATCCCATTGGGGATAATTGGGAATTTTCCATGTGTAGATGGCATGGATCAGTGCAGTGCTTGGGAGGAGCGCTGCATTGTCAAAGGTGGCGCCCTTCGAAGGAGACTTTAAGCGAAAGCCCCATCTACCTGTTCAGGTGGATGTTAAACATCCCATTGCACTATTTGAAAAGAGAAGGGAGTTTCTCCTCCTGGGGCCACCAAGTTTTTTATGTGAAATAAAAATAATGATGATGATAATCATCACTTCCAAAAATAATCCGTTCTTTTGCGTGATGTGCCAAGTTAAGTTGCACTTTAGAAATATTACCAGAAGAATTACAAGAAGAATTTAGCAGTGAATGACTATTTTCAGGGTATTACACAGTCAAAGTGGGCAGTGAAACCATTACTATAGAGGTCATTATTCACCCTCCAAAGAGAATTCAGTTAATTTATCCAGTGAGTGTATTCACATTTATTCAATTATTTTAACTTCAGCTTGGATTCCCTTTGTTTAACTTCTTTTTGTTGCATTTGATTTCCCGGACAGCGAGGGTAAAATTTGGGCTGTTACTTCATACTCCGTTCCCCTCCACCCACCATTCCTTCCCTCCAAACCCAGCCGGGATCCAATAGAATGACGGAAAGGCTTGAGGGGCTGAATGGCCTGCTCCTGTTCCTATGTCCCACTTGTTAACTCGACAGACACAATTTTTACCCTGTTGTTTTGAGTCATCGTTGGTCAAGTCATTTGTACATCCGTGTTTTGCTTTTGGTTGATGAATTTTGATCGTTTTGCTCACTGTTGATTTTAATTTGTTATCGTTTTCAATCGGAAGCTCCACCTTGCCTGCCTGCATTAAGTCCCGCTCCGCACGTAGGCAGGACACTGCCCTGACTCGGGACTCACGAATACTGTCCTTTACAGAACTCTTGGTTAGGTAAGGAAGAGTAGAAAGTGGCCGATATCCTTTCAGTCACTTTCTGGGCACTGTTGTCATTGTCTTGTTCGCTGGAGAGGAATCTCTTGACTTGTTTTGGGGTTTATAGTGAGCGTTTTCTTCAACTGTATTGTATCAACTTACTTAACTTAAGACTGGAGAGAGAGAAGGCCCAAAAGGCAAGATTGGATAGGATGAAGAAGGCTCTACGGCCCATCTGATCTCATCCCTCGAGAACATTCACCTTACCGTTCCCCTAATCACAGCATCAAGCTGCTTATAAAATGAGTCCCAGTGTCCTGGCCTTAACCACCCTTCTGCGACCAACCAGTTCCATCTGTTAATTACCCTCTGAATAAACAAAAACTCCCTGGTGTCAGCCTCCTGAAATGGTTATTTTGCTAACCCTGCAAGTCAAAGCCCTAATGGGTAAGGTGATCCTATCTGGACAAGCAGTGGGAAATATTAATGGCAAGCTATGTGTGTTATAGCTGGTTAGATTCCATCAGTTACCCCAACCCGGACTCTAGGGTCCCCACGTCTTGGTTCTTTGCCAAACTGCACCTAATACTTTCTGGAATTAGAGTGCACATTCCATTCCAACAATCTATCTTTGAGATTTCCACATGTAGGTGGGAGGCATGGAATTCTCAGTTTGGTTTGGAGACTCTTAAGCACGATGATGGGTTTCCGCATGTGCCAGACACCCGGCTGACCCCCCCAAAAAAATTGCAACTCTAAACCCTAAATTGACCAAATAGACCTCATGATGGAGCAAGCACCAGCCTGCTTGCTGCCCACCACCGGATGGCCTGTTCTCGAGTACTCAGGCCTGGAGTCTCTCTGACTTGTTCCCTCCCCCATTTGGTAATTTTCCCCCTCCCCACGCCTCCCTTGGCTCTCACCCAGCTCAGATCCAGCCAGCAGTGTACAGCACTTTGAGACGTCCTCCTGACGTGAAAGGTTCTGTGTAAATGTAAATTGTATTGTACTGTAAGTATGGTTACCATCAACATTGCTTCCTCACTTCACTGGGTAAATTGTGGGAGGCTTTTTGAGCCATTGAACCAAAACAGGGTAAGAAGAGTTTTTGGTTATGGGGTCAGTGCTCAGTGCTGCTGAAATTGGCCTCAGTGTTGCTGGATGAAATGAACCATTTATGAACCTAATTACTTAAAAAAAACACCATTGTTTTTGTGCCTGGTTTATCATGCAATTTCCCTTCGAACTCCATCAAACTGTCTCCTAGTGCCCTGGTCTCAGCCATATGTCCTGGTAAACTCCTTCCAGCTATTAGTCGACCCTCCCCATTAAGAAATACTTCCTGGTTTCTGTCCTGCTATTGATTGCCGTTCAAAACCTTCAGTCTGTGCGTTCCAGTCCTGGTGCCCTGGCCTGTCTGAGATTGTAACGAAAAGATACAACAACAACTCGCAGTTATACAGCGCCTTCACTTGGGTAACATCTCATGCGGAATCCCGTAATGTAGCGGTTAGGGTGCTCGCCTCGCAAGCAAGAGGACCAGGGTTTGATTCCTGGGCAGGTAGAAACAAAGTGTGATTTGGGAAATGTCTTGAGACGTGCCTTGAAGGAGACAAGGGAGGGGGTGAGGTCGAATGGACTGTGTGGAGTTCCAAAGGGTGGGGACAGAGAAGCTGAAAGCCCGACCGCTGATTGTGGGGTGGGCGAGGGACGTGGAGCAAACCAGAGTCCTCCGAGCGGTGGGAGCAGACAGGTCAGTATGGAATTAGCAGGTCACAGAGGGAGGCAGGATCAAGGCTGCAGAGGGCTTTGAAAGCGCTTTGAAAGGGTGAACCTAAGTGGTGTATGGAGTGAAACGTCAGCAGGCGGTTGTCAAAGCTTTGCTGTTTGTTGCCACAGACTTTATTTGCCCTTTTTTGGGGTTTGACTGAAATCGCTTTTAACCCTTTTTGCTCCCTCTCTCACCTTCCCCACCCTTCACATACCCCCAGCATTGGTCCGCTTCAGTGATTGAAACCATAACTGTTCTGTATCATGTTTTTGTTTTGTTGGTTAAGGGAAGGAGCATTGCCTTTATGATTTTACGATCTAACATTATATTCCTTCTTTGTTTTTCTCCTCTCCCTTATCCTCTTTCTCTTCCACCTTTGGACACCATGCACTGGCATTAGTGAAATGCAGCACTCCCTTGACAGAGCTAAGAGTGCTAGCACCAACTGCTTGAGACCTGACACTAGTTTACAGTCACCAGAACGAGAAAGGTACATCCAACCCTCTCTCTCTTTTTGTTTCAATCCTTTGTCATCTGTGCCGATGGATGTTTCCGTGTCTCTGTAGTGACCAGGATATTGCAGAACAGGCTCTAAATTGCGGTATTTAGAAAAGAACAGCTTCAAATCCCGTCCTTCAGATGAGACGTAAATCAAGGTCCCGTCTGTGCCTGTTCAGGTAGATGTTAAAGATCCCATTGGCACTATTCAAATAGAGGAGGGAGTTTTTCTCTCTCCTGGTGTCTTGGCCAACAATCCCCCTAATTAAAATTGGTCCCTCACTCCGTGGCTGTTTGTGGGACATTACCGTGCGCAATTGGCTGCTGCGTTTCGGCCACAAAACACAAAGTCAGTTCACTTTACAGTGAAGTGCTTTGAGACGTCTCAACATGATAAGGCGCTATGTCAAATGCAAGGATTATTATTATCATTATTTGTTCACATCAGTTCCACAATGAGGAATCTGATTCGTAGACTGAGCAAATGGAAGCTCCATCCAGTTGCTGGAAGCGCATCACGTCATCGTTCTTTGCCCTCTCTTTCCGTTCCCCGCCACATCCCGCATTCCAAGGGGTCTCTGCTCCGAATGCTTCCAAAGGAATTCTAATGGGATTCTATGTTAAGAAAAGACATGGAGGAAATACCGCGATTTAGTCCCAAGTTGGATTTGTGCTTTCAAAGCGTTTGTAAATGTGTTCCCGTACACGACGGGACGTTTTGTTAACCTTTTGCGTTCCATTTGTGTGCCATACCCTCTCTGTGTGATCGGAGGAAGTTGTGTCTGCAGCTGTGTTGGTGGTTGTCTCAGTCGCTGTGTCAGTCGCTGTGTTGGCTGTCATGTCAGTCGTTGTGTCAGTGGTCGAGTTAATCAACGTTCCTATGCCTTGTCAGTGACTGTGTCAGTTGCGTGTCAGTCGCTGTATCAGTGGTTATGTTGATGGGCTGTGCCATTCCTTGTGTCACTCGCTGTATTCATCATTGTGTCGGTGCCTGTTAGAGACTGTGTCAGTCACTGTGCCAAGGCCCGACTGCCGATGGTGGGGCGGGACAGGTGGAGGACGTGGAGCAGTCCGGACCCTGCTGAGCAGAGGGAGCGGACAGGTTGATAAAGGGTTAGCAGGTCACTGAGGCAGGAAGGGGCAAGGCCATGGAGGGATCTTGAAATCGATCCGTTCTGCAACAGGGAGCCAAGGACTGGAGCGATGGGGGTACAGAGCCTGGTACGGGTGAGGACACGGGCGGCAGAGTTTTGTCTCAGTTTAATAACCGAACGTCTCACTGATTCTGTGATACAGGTAAAGGTAATCAGGGCTGGAAGGTTTCCTGACAGAATCGCTGAGACATTTTCAGATTTATGTCACTAATTAAGCTTTCATTATCAGATAGCTCCTGTGTTATTGATTCGCTTGTCGTTAATGCTGAAGCAGGTTCCTAATGTGATGCTGAGCTCACCATGAGACCTTAAACAGACCTGTTCATTTTTATTAATCATTGCTACAAAATGTATGGCCTTTGCCCCACTTGTTCTGTGTGTGTGTGTGTGTGTGTGTGTGTGTGCTCCATACCGACCTGTCCTCTCCCTTCACTCAGCGGACTATGGCCTGCTCCACATCGTCCGCACCACCATCCACGGTCAGGCCAGTAGCCTCTCTGTCCCCACCATTTGGAACACCATCCCACAGTCCCTTTGCCTCGACCCTTCCCTTGCCTCCTTCAAGGCCCGACTCAAGACCCTCCTTTATGACCGCACCTTTGGTCACCTTCCTACCCCTACCGCCTCTGCCCTCCACCTCTCCTGATCCCAACCCCAAGCTTTCCAGTGCCTTTGGACATCCTCCCGATGTGAAAGGTGCCATATAAATGTAATTTGTTGTTGTTGTATATTAGTGCTCCCAGCACTGTCCTATTCTGTCTGTCTGTGTGTGTGTGTGTGTACACAGCGCCTAGTCTGGCACTGCCCCACTCTGTCTGTGTGAACACTATGTCCTATGCTATCTATTCCCTTTGCAAAAAGAACACAGTTTGATCAGGCAATTTGGCCCCACCATCCTACATCCTTAAAATTGTAACTTCCTTCAAGTATTTCATATATATCTGTGTATGTATGTTTAACGCTAAAATACTGCACATACTATGCGTGTATGTATGTGTATATATTGTATATATGGAGTCCTGTAGCTCAGTGGTTAGAGCACTCGCCTCACAGGCGAGAGACCTGGGTTCGATTCCCGGCAGGGCAAAATGTTGGGCAAGTTTCCTTACTCCACACAACTCTATTTATCTAGCAGTAAGTAGGAATCGAGTTGTTAGTCGATTGGCAGATCACTTTTCCGGGGATAATAATTCCTTCAAAAATAAATAATAAATTGATCACTTAATCCACGACTGTTTGTGGGATACTGCTGTGCGCAATTGGCTGCCATGTTTCGCCTACAGAAGATACAGTCAATTCACTTTACTGGATATTCTGTGAAGCACTTTGAGATGTCTTGAAGACGGGATAAGGTGCTATAACAATTGCAAGGATTATTATTATAGGTGTTTATGTATGTGTGTGTATGTATATATATATGTGTAGTGTTTGTATGTGTGCCTGTGTGTGAATGTTTGTATGTTAGCGCTTTGGGATGCTACCCTGCCTGAGGGGCGCTATATAAATGCAAGTTGTTTTTGTTGTATGTGATGTGTATAACCTGTATATTTGTGTGTGTGTGTGTGTGTGAGAGAGTGAAATAAACCCCTGATTAGTAGGTCACCTGATCTGACCCGGCGTGGTTGGTTAGATGTAATGGCAAGGTTACCAGCGGCCTCTGAAGCTGGTTGCAACAGATAGAAACAGAACTTCAGTGCCCATCGCCTTTACAGTGAATGTTTAGGTGGAATATTGTCTAAGTTACTGAGAAAGACTTTGGGGGAAATCACGGTATGCGACATGAATGTATCCTTGTCCAATTTCTGTGGCACAAATAAATGGGACACGACTGGGAGCCGTGTATTCACACACACACACACAGACACTTACACACACATACAGAATGAGACTGTGTTGAGAGTAAGTGTACCCAAACACACTCACACACGCATATGCACAAAGAATGGCACAACGCTAGGGGGGGTGTATACGCACACACAGAGAACACCATACATGTACACACTCAGACCTTTTGATGAGGACAATGCGATGCAATATTATACCACAGAATTGGAAACCATTCACTGAAGCCTGACCATCTTAGACAAAGAATACACTGATTTTTATTTCTCTACAATGTTGCTTTCCTTTTGCCCTCCTTTCCCCATAGGTGCCACAAGTTAGGTATCAGCTATTAGCGTACGGGCCTCTAAATCAGAATGTTGGTTCAATTCCCCTGCTCGGGACCTTGAGAACACATTCGAGAATGACACTCGAGGACAGTACTACTACTACTAATAATAATCCTTGGATTTGATGCTTACCACATTTTTGAAGGGGTCATCTCAAAGCTCTTCCCAGAATATAGTGTAAAGTGGATTGACTGTATATTTTGTTGGCGAAATGTGGCAGCCAATTGCGCACAGCAGTGTCCCACAAACACTCAGGGATTGAGAGCATTCGTCTCACAAGCAAGAGGATCCAGGTTCGGTTCCCAGGTGGGGCAAAACCTTAGGCGAGTTTCTTTACTCAACAAGCCTCTGTTTCCCTATCAGGAAGTAGGAAACCGGTTGTTGGTCAATTGGCGGATCGCTTTCTGGGGGTAATAATACCTTCTAAAATAAATATGTAAATAAATAATAACTTGCTCACTCAATCCACGACTGATTGTGGGACACTGCTGTGTGCAATCGGCTGCCGCGTTTCACCCACAAAATATACAATCAATCAACTTTACAGTAGCGTTTTGAAGACGTCTCAATTACTTGATAAAGCGCTATCTCAAATGCAGGGATTATTATCATTTGACAGAATGAAAAGCATTTTTCTGCTTACAGTCATTAATGGCCGCTGTTGCTAAACATTTAATCTTTAATCTCAGCACCTTATTTGGTTCTGATTTCTCTCTCTCTCTTTCTCTCTCTCTCTCTCTTTCCCTTATCCCCCTCCCCCACACCGCCTCCCTTTCTCACGTTCTCCTGCTCCGGTCACGTTCAGGACCTTGGAGAGGTCCGGCAGCCACAAGCAGGGTAGAAAGTGCACCGCGTCTGGGACTGAAAGGTAGGACAGAACGCAACAGAGCGCAGGAAACCAACGACAACTCAAGTGACGCATTCCAATTGCCTCATTAAAACCAAGAGCAGCTATGATTTGTGGAGTCCCGTAGTGTAGTGGGTAGCATGCTACCCTCACAAGCAGGAGGACCCGGGTTTGATTCCAGGGCAGGGCAAAATCTTCGGAAAGTTTTCTGACTCCACATGCCCCTGTTTTCTCAGCAGTAACTAGGAACCAGTTTGGTAGTTGAATGGTGGGCTGCTTTCTGGGGGTCCTCTTCCCTTCAAAAAACAACAAAAAAAAATTGGTCACTCAACCCACGACTGTTTGTGGACCATTGCTGTGCACAATTGGCTGTCGTGTTTCGCCCACAAAATACAGTCACTACACTTTACAATGTATTCTGTGAAGTGCATTGAGACGTGCTTGGGGGTGGGGTGGGAGGGTGGTAGTGTCGCATTGTTGGAAGTGCCTTCCTTCAGATGAGACGTTAAACCAAGGTGGACGTTAAAGATCCCATGGAACTACTCATAAAGGGAAGAGAGTTTCTCTCTGCCCGTGTCCTGGCCAGAAAATTCTCTCACTCCATGGCTGTTTGTAGGACACTGCTGTGCGCAACTGTCTGCCTTGTTTCTGTTAAATTTTGATTTGAAATGTTTTTTGTTATTAGTCGAAGATTCCTTAGACCCTTAGAAAGACAGTGTGGCCTGGACAGAGCCTTGAGTAGTGAGTCTGGCTCGGGCAGGTATGGAGATTGGGGTGTAAGGTGACTGAATGCATTTCGTCTTCCTGATTTGCCACTGGGCTTTGGTGTCGGCTGTTACATGGTGTACAAACAGTGCCTTCGAACTCTAACCCTAATGGTGCCTGGAGCCCACTGGAAAACAATGGTGGGGGAGGTGGTGGTGGGGGGGGGGGGGGGCATAAGGAATCTCCCACTAATAGGGTTAGAGCTTGCTTTCAACCAAGGCAAATGGCAATAGCTCTTTCCTGGCTGTTTGCCCCGTGATGTAGAATGAAAGAGAAATGGAAATGGTCTCATGTTTCACTGTATTTCATCCTGGCCTGAACCTGGCTCAGTCGGTAACCCTCTTGTCTCTGAGTCAGAAGGTTGTGGGTTCAAGGCCCATGTGAGGACATGGAATTGCAAAATCTGGGCTGACACTCCAATGCAGTGCTGGGGAGTGCTGTACTGTCAGAGGTGCCGTCCTTCGGATAAGGTGGTAAAGATCCTGTGGCACTATTCGAATAGAGAAGTGAGTTTCTCTCTCTTGCTCTGTGTCCTGGCCAGCAATCCCAGCAATTGTAAAAATTGTTCATTCACGTCATTGTTGTTTCGTGGGACATTGCTGTGTGCAAATTGGCTGCCTCGTTCACCTACAAAATACATAGTCCTTGCGCTTTACAGGGGAATCCTGTGAAGCACTTCCTCACGACGTGGAAGGTGCTGTATCAAATGTAAAGATTTATTATGATTTATTTTATCAGAGCCTGGTTCCTCAAATTCCATTTGAGTTCAGTCTTGCCCCACCCTACCTCAGTGACCTTCTACCAACCAACCTGCTCCCTTTGCTCAGCAGGCATCCCTGTCCATCATCAGCCTGTCTTCCCATTCCCTGAAACTTCATCTATGAGTCCCTTCCTTGCCTCCTTCAATGTCCATCTCAAGACCTCCCTCTTTGAAAGTGTTTTTGGTCATCATTTCCCACCACCCTTGCCGCCCCCCTCCCCCTCCCCGCCCAATCCAACGCTCAGCTTGGGTGCAAACCCTCAACTGTCCAGCACTTTGGAACATCCTCCCGATGTGAAAGGTGCTACACAAATCAATCTGTTGTTGTTCTAGTGAAGAATTGGCTGGGAAGCTTTTTGAAGTGTAAGACAACCTGTTGCCATTTGCCTTTGCCTTTGTGTGCGTGTGCGATGTGTCAACTATTTTATTTCCCTCGTGTTGTTTCAAGTGAAGTGTTCCTAGAATGGTAGAATGTTCCGGCACCGAAACAGGCCATTGGGCCCATCAAGTCGGTTTTGGCATTTTTCTCCACATGAGCCTCCTGTTCTAACTCACTCTCTCTCTCTCATCAAATCTCTTTTTTTTCCAAGCGTCCATTTACTACAGATATAACCCCTTCTGCAGATTGATGTCACTTCCCGTACGCTGTATAATGAGCACTGCTGATGTCACTTCTTGCATGCCACATCAATTTAACAGCGTAAAAAAAGCCTCTGACTGTTTGTGGGACACTGCTGTGTGCAATTGGTTGTTTTGTTTGGCCCACAAAATACACAATCAATCCACTTTACAATATATTTATTCTGTGAAGCGCTTTGAAACGTTTTAACAATCTGATAAGACGCTATGTCAATATATCAAAAGGATTATTATTTACTATTATTATTCAATGTACTTCCCACCCCCACCCAACCCATTCTGAATGACATTCAGCGCTTAACACTACTTGGAATTAGCTAAACAGGATATGTCCCTATGGGGAGAGAGAATGCAATCTATTCCAGACACTGGGAAATTCCCATATGTAGGTAGTGTGCTTATCTGATTTGGATACTCTTAAACATGGTGATGGGTTTCCCCGTTTGTCAGACACCTGATTGATCAAAGTAACGGCCTTAAATTCGAATATAGTTCTTAAAAAAAAGAACATCTTGCAGATTAAGACTGGATTTGAAAATCTCTACAATTCTGAAAGATGTTAAATTTTAAGAAAATAATAGCTATGACAGGACTTACAGTAGAGATTTCAAGCCTATGCAACTATACAGCAAGATAAGCAGGAATGATGATTTACCCTGCAGATTGGGCTTGTGCTCTCTGTCTCTACCTCTGCACCTCGCCCCATCTTTATCTTCCTTTAAATGGAGTCCTGTAGCTTACTGGTTAGGGCACTCTCCTCGCAAGTGAGAGGACCCAGGTGCAGTTACTGGTGGAGCAAAACTTTAGGCAAGTTTCCTTACTTTGCACACCCGTTTACCTAGAAGTAAGTAGGAACCCGGTTGTTAGTCGATTGGCGGATTGCTTTCTGGGGGTAATAATCTCTTCAAATAAATAAATAATGTGGTCACTCAATCCATGACTCTTTGTGGGACACTGCTGTGCGCAATTGACTGCCGCGTTTCGCCCACAAAATACAGTCAATCCACTTCATAATATATTCTGTGAAGCGCTTTGCAGCGTCTCAACAACGTGTTAAGGCTCTGTATCAAATGCAAAGATTATTATGATAAATCTCACGGTAAAATCTACCTCATTTACTGTGCCTCAAGTCACTTCTCCCTCGCTCTGGGTCCAACCTCGTCACTGTGTATAAATGCAAGTTGTGTTGTTTTTTTCCTCTTCACTTTATTGATTATTCTTATCAGTTCAGAGAGTTTTGGCTTTGAAGACTCTGAATTCTCATTTCCTCCTGTTTCTCTTTTAACTACAAGCTTTTCTTTATTTTAGTATCAGCTACACTTGACACATCTGTGAACTGATTGTCTAGTTTCTCCCTTACCTCTCTTTCACCTTTACCCCCTTTCAAGCCCTCCCTCCCCCTTCACACTGCTGGCAGGACTTTTCACCTTTGTGGTCTTTGCCCACAGCATGCCGGAGTTGAGCCGAACTGGGAGCCGGGACAGGAAGGCTGGCCAGCAATCGACAAGGTAACTGCAGAAGGCGCTACTACATGAGATTACTGGGGCTGCTTTGGCCAGGTTGCGCTGTACAAATATTGGCCAAGTGCCCTTCACGTGGCATATAATCCTGTATCGTATCGGTTAATGCACTCCCTCACACGCGAGAGTACCCGGGTTCGATTCCCAGGCCCGACAAAACCTGAGGCAAGTTTCCTTACTCCACACATCTCTGTTTACTTAGTGGTAAGTAGGAACCTGGTTGTTAGTCAATTAGTGGATCGCTTTCCTGGGGTAATAATCCCTTTAAAAATAAAATAAATAAACACTTTTGTCGCTCAATCAATGACTGTTTGTGGGACGCTGCTGTGTGCAACTGGCTGTCGAGTTTCGCCCACAAAATATCCAGTTAATTCACTTTACATTATATTCGGTGAAGCACTTTGAGACTCTCAACAACGTGATAAGGCGCTATATCAAATGCAAGGATTATTATTATTATTACGCAGGGCACCTGGTCAGATACTGTCATGTTTTCCTACCCAATGTTTCGTTTTCTGACCTATCTTGTGCTGGTGATGGCAGACTTCTCTGCTAGAATGCAACTGATAACGATTATGAATCTTAATATATAGCAGTCACTGAAAATCTCTCCCCAAATCCCTTCAACATGCGTCTTTTCTGCCTGACTTCAAAACCCTAACTCTCTGACCGCGCTTCTGATCAAAACACTTAAATTCTCCCTCCTCTCCTTCCTGATCTCTGTAAAGCACCCTGAGACATTCAAACCAGGTAAGTGCAAGTTACGTAGATTTTGCATAGAATGCAAAGCACAGAACATAGGAACAGGAGGAGTAGGTCATTCGGCCCCTCGAGCCTGTTCCGCCATTCTATTAGATCATGGCTGACTTGTACCTCAACTCCAATTACCTGCCCTGTCCCATATTCCTTGATACCCTGACCTAACAAAAATCTATCAGTCTTAAAAATTTGAATGGGTCCAGCATCGATAGCATTTTGGGAGAGAGAGCACCAGATTTCCACTGCCCTTTGCATGAAAAAATGGAAAAAAAAACGGAAACAGATAATTCAGCCCAACCAGTCCATGATGGTGTCTACACCCATTCCTTAATCCTTCCCACACCCTTCAATTCCCTTCTCCCTCATGTGCATATCTAGCTTTCTCTCACTAGAGTAAGAGGACTTTGGTTGTTGTTGTTGTTGTAGGGTGCTTCCAATTGGCAATAGGCGGGAGCTACCGAGCCTGAGTAAGCCTGAGCAGCTGGGCGTTAAAGGGAGACAACGTACTGACTCAGGTTTGAGTGAATACTCTAGTATTAGACCCACCTGCTGTGGCCACCAGCTAGTGCCTGCAGGCCCAACACCACCATCTCCACTGTCCGCAAGGTGCTATTACATGTGCTGCACACTGTTGGTGTCTGTCCCAGCCTTGCCCTCCTTTAGTACTTAGTGTAGAGTGCCCCGGCTTGCTATGTGATTCAGTAATGCAGCTCCCCTATAATAATGCTTTGGTTTCCCTGTAGTCTGTAGCCTTTGCCCTTTTCTCTGTGTGTAATGAGAATTGGGGGTGAAACGTCCAGTGTTTCATAACAGATTCAATAATATTTGTACATCTTATCGTTAGCTTGTATTTTTCTAGTCTTTTCTAAATACCGAGCAGGTGTGACACTCCCTTCTTCCCCTCCCCACTCCCCAGTCTGACTGCACTGCACTATTTGGGTCCGATCCAGGTTTGAGGCATGTTTTGCCAACATTTTATATTCCTGTTTTATCAAGCACCATTTTTTCCCCAATCCCCAAATCGCATTAAAACGGTTTCCATGTAGCTGTAGAATTGGCGATTGTGAATATTAATGTCGGTTGTTGAGTATCAATGGTGGTGAGTATTAACTGTGCCTGTCATCAAGGGCGGTTGTTGAGTATTAATGACTGTTGAGGCTTAATGATGGCGTGCGAGTATTAATGGTGGCTGTTGAGTTTCATTGGCGGTTGTTGAGTATTAATAACGGTTATTGAGAACTAACAGTGGCTGTTGTCAATGGTGATTTTTGAGTATTAATGGAGGCCATTGTTTAGGCTCATTGAGTAACATTGGCAGTTGTTCAGTATTAATAGTGGCCATTATCAATGGTGGTTGTTGAGCATAAATGATGTTTTTTGAGTATTAATGGTGCTTATTGAGTATCATGGTGGTTGAGTATTAATAGTGGCCGTTATCAATTGTGGCCGTTGGAGTATTGATGATGACTAACGGTGGCCAACCATTGTGCTCAAGAGTTGGTGTGAGGAGACATCAGGAAGACGTCTCAACGTTTGCTGAGCAAAGGGAATGGCCAGGTTGCTGCAGTAGTCGGAGAAAACAGAAGAAGGGTGGAGGAGACACTGTGGCGGGATTTCAACGTGATACACAGTCACTACACTTCACAGTAAAATCTCGTGTAGCGCTTTGAGACGTCTCGATGACGTGATATGATGTTGTATCAAACAAAATAATAGGATTATTATATTGTTTATTACAACTTCAAGATACAATTAAACCGTAGGCTGAACCACAAGATTTTTTTTGCTGTTTCAACTCAGTTGGTAGCACTCACATCTGTGGGTCACTCAAGGAGGTGACTTTAGGTGTGGTTGAAGAGGTAAATCTTATGGTGTGATTTAAAGGAAGATAAAGAGGTTCGAGGCGGAGAGACTGAGGCAGAGAGTTCCATAGATTATTGATGTAGATGATGCATGTTTTTCCAAGGCCACAGCAGTAACCTCTCACATTCTGTCCTCCTGTAATTGCAGGGCACACCAACAAGGGAGTTCAGTCCAGTCATCGCCAACAGGGACCCCGGTCTCTGGCCGCAGGGGAAGACAGCTCCCACAGGTTCCGAGCAAAAGCAGTGTGGACCAAGGTAAGGGAGAGAGAGCAAACGGGCCCCATTATGAGCGTGGTGGGGCAGCTCAAGGCTGACGGCTTGTTACAAACATAAGGATAGAGTTTATAACGCCCTCCGCCACCCCCAGCACTGCACTGGAGTATCAGCCTAGACTGCGACTTCACAGTAATTCACAAGAGACCTGGAATTCGGCCAAGTCTTCGTCTGCGAATCCGCATTATGATTAAATTTTACAAGCAGCGGTGCCTTGGATCACAGACACACGCTTGTTATTAAATAATGTAAGCAGTCAGTCGCAGAGTGAACTCGTATTGTTTTATGGAGCAGAATTTATGCTCGCAAGGAACGCTCATCAAACAGGCAATGAGCACTGTGACTGCAGACACACTCCTGGACCACTCTGCTACCAGACTCGCTCTCATCAATATTTCACCTCTATGTTCTCATCGCTCTGAGTTTAGGTTTGTGCGTTCCATTAATTGTAGCTGATTATTTCAGCGGAGTCGATTTAACAGCCATCAATACCTCGGCAAAGTACCATTGAGCCAGCACTTTCTACAAATGTATATTTTTCACACTTGTGAAAGCCTTTTTTTGGTCAGCCGGGTGTCTGACACATGTGGAAAACCATCAACATGCTTAAGAGTATCCAAACCAAGCTGAGATTTCCATGCCTCCCACCTACACATGGAAATCCTAGAGATCGATTGTCGGAATGGAATGCAAACTCTCTTCCTGGAGGGATGCATCCTGCTTACCTAATTCCGGAAAGGTATTAGGCACAGTTTGGTCAAAGCCAAGGCTTGGGGACCCCAGAGTGTGCGTTGGGGTAACTGCTGGAGTCTAACCAGCTAAAACCACAAAGCCTGCCTTTGGTATTGCTGTCTGGCCAGCTTTCCCGCTGCTTGTCCAGCTAGGATCACTCTAGCTTTGGCTTGGGTTAACGGGAGCTGGAGTGGGATGATTCCTTGCCCCCAATGACTGGTCTGCATTTCCAGGTCCTGCCTGAAAGCTTCTGGTTTAAGCAACGGCACAGAGAGTGACTCAGGCACCAGATAAACAGTGACACAGGTATTTGGAAAGGAAGCTTCGCAGGGATATGTGCGTATGTGCTCTCAGGTACATCTCCTTGCCTGTCTCCACAGTCAGCCGAGCAGCAGAGCAGCGGGCGAAACAGATGAAGATGAAAATGCATCCCAACAAACAGTGCATGGGCTCAGGGTCCAGCCAAGAGCAGGAGCGAGAGCAATACATCAAGGTGAGGATCCTCTACACTGAGTGTGCAGCAACCTACACTCACGCACAAACACTGTACGGAGTGATGTTCCTGGATAGCTCCTAGATAGAGCAATCCTTATCAAAGCGCTTTCCAAAGATGATGTGCATAACGGAGCAGCATAGCTAAACGGGATTCCCCTGTTCATAATAATAATCCTTGCATTTGATATAGCACCTTATCAAATCGCCACTGTTTGAAAAGAGAAGAGAGTTTTTTCCTCCCTGTGTCCAGGCCAACAACCCCCCAAATAAAATTGGCTGTTTGTGGGGCACTGCTGTGTGCAACTAGCTGCCTTATTTTGCCAACACAAAATACGCAGTCAATCCACTTTACTGTGCATCATGTGAAGCACTTTGAGGTGTCTCAATGTCGTGATAGAGGGCTATATCAAATGCAAGGATTATTATTATCGTTAATAAAGTGATTTGACAGTGAATCCTCTTTCCACTGGAACTCTATTCCTGCATCCCTCCACCTCGCCTCCTCCCTCGTTTGCTTCTCAAGACATTCCTCTTTGACCGAGTCCTTGGCCAAACTCCCACTTCCACCCCTCTTGATCCCAGTCACCAGCTCGGGTGCAACCCTTAACTGTCCAGCACCTTGGGAGGTGAAAGGCTCAACATAAATGTAATTTGTTGTTGTTCAGCATCTACCCTACAAGGACCAGAGTAGAAGCATTGACAACGTCTCCATGAAGTCATCGGACAGTGATGTCAGCGATGTCTCAGCCATTTCCAGAACCAGCAGTGCCTCACGCCTCAGCAGCACAAGCTACATGTCTGTCCAGTCAGAACGGCCGAGGGGGAGCCGTAAGATCAGGTGAGTATCACCTCTAGTCACAGGTACAGGGCCCAGGACAGTAGCTGCTCTGCCTGGTTCTCTCAGCAATGGGAGGGAAGGGGGGGGGAGTGGTTGGGGGGGTGGGTGGCTTGTTACGTATTCTTTGCTTAACAAAAAAACATCTTTCCCAATAAAGCCATGTGAGAAATGCCATTAAACACATTCAACAGAGCGAGAGAGAGAAAAAGATTGCGAATATTAGCTAGCGAAGTACACCAGCATCCGAAATTCCACTTGGTCTTTGCCTTCGTAAGATCTGTTTCTTTCAGTTTGTTTTAAAGATTTAAGATGACGCACAAATGTGGAAAGTTCTTCAATTCAGTCTCTATCTGGTAGCCGGATTGCCACTGTTCCCTGCCTCTCTGATTGACTGACCTCGTCTTCAGTCACTTCCCTCCCATCACTCCATCCATCTCTGTGAAACCCTTTGAGATGTTACTTTGTTTTAATCAGCCTTTGGTTACCTTTAACACGGGCAGAAAACAGGCTAAATCACCACTGCTGACACACAGTGCTCAGCCTCTGTAAGAGGACATCTTCTGGGAAGTTTTCACTCATTACCTCACACAGGTTTAATGCCCCTCTCTAATCCTATCAATGAATAATTGTTTTGGTCAGCCAGGTGTCTGACACATGCTGTAACCGTGCTTAAGTGGTATCCACACCCGAATTCCATGCATCCTACCTACACGTGGAAATTCCCATGTATTACAATGCAATGATGCACTCTTCCCCCTTAAAGGGACGCATTCGTATTTACCTAATGCTGGAGAATATTAGGCACAGGCTAATACGAGATGCTACCCTAAGGGAAAGGTAAGTTAGATCAACAACAACAACAAGATTTCATTTATAGGGCGCCTCTCACGTCGGGAGGACATCCCAAGGCGCTGGACAGTTGGGTCGGGACCCGAGCAGGGGGGAAATGGTAAGGGTGAGGGGAGGGAAGGGAGGCAGAGAGGAGGGGAGGGAAGGGAGGGAGCGAGGAGGGGGTAGAGAGTCGAGAGGGGAGCTGAAGGCACGGTCGAAGAGAAAGGTCTTGAGACCGGCCTTGAAGGAGGAAAGGGAGGAGGCGGCGAAGGCACTGGGGGGTGGAGTTCCAGAGCCTAGGGGCTGAGAGGCTGAAGGCCCGGCCACCGATGGTAGGGCAGATAGGGCTGGGGATGTGGAGCAGACCGGAGCCAGAGGAATGGAGGGTATGGGCAGGTAAGTAGGGGGTAGTAGGTTGGAGAGGTAGGAGGGAGCAAGGCCGTGAATGGCCTTGTAGGTGAGGATGATGATCTTGAATTCGATCCTCTGGGGGATGGGGAGCCAGTGGAGGCGAGCGAGGGTGGGAGTGATGTGGTCGCGAAGCCTGGTGCGGGACAGTACACGAGCTGCAGTGTTCTGAATGACCTGCAGCTTGTGGAGGGAGGTGCCGGGAAGGCCGGCGAGGAGAGAGTTTCCATAGTCCGGCCTTGAGGTGATAAAGGCGTTGACCAGAGTTTCAGCAGCGTGAGGGGTGAGATAGTGCCATAGTCTGGCCATGTTTCGGAGGTGATGGAAGGCAGTGCCAGTTGTGGCGCGGATATGAGGAAGAAAGAACAGCTCAGGGTCGAACAGAACACCGAGGTTCCTGACTGGCTTTGAGAGGTGGAGAGTGCAGCCTTGGATGCTGATGGTGTCAGCGCCTGAGGTGCGGAGGCGCTGACGTGAGCCAATCAGGAGGGCCTCAGTCTTGCGCACGTTGAGCTGAAGAAAGTTGTCTCTCGTCCAGGACTCGATGTCGGACAGACAGCTGTCAGGACATCGGTGGTCGTAGAGTTGAGGGTCGAAGAGGAAAGGTAGAGTTGGGTGTCATCCGCATATATGTGGAAGTTAACCCCATGTCTGCAGATGATGTCACCAAGGGGGAGCATATAGAGGGTGAAGAGGACGGAACCGAGGACAGAGCCCTGAGGGACACCGCACGATACAGTGCGGGGGCCGGAGGAAAAGCTGTTTATTATTCAAGTTATTGTTGTGGCGGAATTTTAGAATTTTAACCACCATTTTAAAGGAAAATGGTTCTACAGGCTTAGGAACTAGTGGAATTTCGGGGTAAAAGTTGGCTTGAAGGAATATTCCTCAAGAAAGTGGGTGGAAAGAAATTGACCGAGGAACATAGGAACAGGAGTAGGCCATTCAACCCCTTGAGTCTGTTGCGCATTTCTATTAGATCATGGCTGCTCTGTACCTCACCTCCAATTGACGGACAGCGGTACCAGCATTGTGAACTTCGTTTCCAGCAGGGAATCTCCGAAGATCACGATGACTCACGAGAGCTCAGGTCCCAGGTAACCTGGGGGATCCAAGGGGGTCCAAGCTGAGATCTTGCCAGATGGAGAGATGTTACGAGATCCCAGTAGGCGGGAGGTACGATTCACGTCACCAGGTTCCTTTTTTTCTCTGGCGGTGAGATGCCAGTAGAACGCTGCCTCCTTCTTAAGGTTGCTTCAAGACCCAGTTATCTCAGCGAGTGCAGACCCACCGCTCAGTGCCTGATGAAGCCCGATGCGTTTGCTAATAAATCAAAAACCTGTTTGAACCTGTGTTCTGTTCCAGTAAGGCTGGTTGGAGCCTACTAGTGCTTGGGTTTAGCCACTGTTAAGTCGTCTTTGGGTCCTGTGAAGGAAGGTGAAGGTTTGCTCTTGTGAAAACATCTCTTTTTGTCATCTCTTTCTGCTGTGTGTTAAAATTGCTGATGCTTCCAACAAAAAAGCTTCTCTGCCTATCGCTTCTCTTCAAACAGGCAAAGGCAGAACTGTTGAGAGTCGGTGAATAGTGACGATGTGGTGTGGATCATAGTGATGGTCCCAGGAGGGTTAGACACAATAACTGGACAAATGGTTACTCACAGTATTAAGCTGTATTCAAGCTTCTTGGCTTTTTAGTTTGCTGCATTGTTTTGAAATTGTGTTGAATAAAATTCACCATTGATAACAGTACAGTTACAGGAAAGAAAGACTTTCCTACCTGTTAGGGTTTTAACTCGCAAGGATGAGGACAGTGAGGAGAAACCTCCAGGTCAGCCTCGTCTCCTCCTCGTGTGGGTTGTGTCTGTTTTTTGCAAATCAGTCTTAAATTCAGTATTAGCCTGCGAACTGTTTTTCCACTTGTTTTTGTGTGTTGGTGGGAGGGGGATGGTGTGGGGGGAGTGTTGCAGGAGATCAGCTTTCGAACCGAGACAGAATATAAAACATTAATTTCATAACTCAATCTCAAAATTTCCAATCTCCGTTTTATTTGTCCTTCAGCCTAAGAACATGAGAATTTCAGGGTCGCAGGTCAAGCAAGGGCACCACTAACAGTATATTATACATATCCATCCCACAAAGTCAAGAACTTATTATTATTATTTATATATTTTTTGCATATTTTGTTTCCGACTTCTGTGCGTGGTTTATTTGTTAATAATTTTCATTTGTTACGATTTTTATTATTATTTTATTTTTGTGTGATCGTTTTCTGTTGCATGCTTGCATGCTGTGGTCGCGAGAAGGTCCAAGTCCTTAGAAACCTACAGGGATGTTGGAACTAGAAAAGACAGGAGGATATCGTGGGTGATAGACCAGGAGGGAGAGAAAGAGATGAAGGCCGCGGATACTGTTCCACAGAAACGGCACAGAGAAGACCTCAAAAGGAGACGGCACACAGTTTCTGGGGACCTGAGGTAAAGGCGGCTGCCTTACCCTGCTGCCTCTCTCCCTCATTCCCCCGCTCCCTGCACCAACCCCCGAATTCCAGCCCCTATCCTGCCACTGACTTTCCCCAACGCTAAGGTGGTCCAACTGGTGCCCCGCAGGCCAATTTCATCCCCCCCACCTCCCTCCATTTCATCTAGCCCACCCGCTCCTTCCATAACCCGTAAATGTTATGTTACTGGAAGGGAAACACAAGAGGATTGCTTATGCGGACGAACCTTGTTTTACTGAGGAATTTCCCTTTTTCTTCCACTCCCTCCCAACCCGTCTCCCCTACTCCCTCCTTGAGCAGGTTTGGAAGGTTAAGGAGCAACTTGAGGAATTTGTGTGGTTAAACAGCCATTGCACACCAGTATAGGACCAGGGCCTGGAGGAGACTATTTAGCTATTGAGTCCTGTCCTGAGTCATGCTCTACTCATGGTGAAACAGTGTATTGCTGATGCACCGGTTTTTGCTACTGCTATATATAAGGAACAGTGAGTTTTATCAGAGGAGATAACTGTGTGTGTTCAAGTTAAATGTGACTGTACAAGCGGAGTTCATTTTGATAGTTTTGTTATTTCCTGTCAATATTCACTCCTCTTCCTTCCTCTATTCACCTGGGAGAAAGTTCCTTGCTTTGGTGTATGTTTCTTTGAGTTGAAGTATGGTTTATTAGGTCAGAGCCTTTACCTCAGGTTCCTTCAGTGTTGTACATGATGTTCATGTAGTCCTGTTACCCCATGTTTTTTTCCTACAGCACATTGACCGACAACTGAAACATGTGGAAGAATGATGATAATTGTATATAGCAGTACTTACTTGTATTCACTACAGAACCGTATTTAGACATCCAGAGGATGGGTGTGAGTGAGCGCTATCATTTTCATGGCAGATAACCATCCATTGCCACGTTCGGTGCCGCATAGGAATATATGAACAGGAATAGACCATTCAGCCGCTTGAGCTAATTCCAGGCAACTTCATGTCGGCTCCTGTTAACCTTTACACCTAAAGCCCTAACAGGTAGGGTGGTCCCAGCTGGACAAACAGTGGGAAGCTATCCTGTTAGATCTTTGCTGATCTGTAACTTCATTCCAATTACCCATCTTTGCTGCATATCCCTTGATACTCTGATCTAACAAACATCTATCCACCTCAGTCTTGAAAATTTGAATGGATCCAGTATCCACAGCCTTTTGGGGCATCAATAACTGCTCTACAGGGTGTTCACAAAGTCCTGTTCACTCCATCGAACAGTTAAATTGATATCTGAC